TTTCGGCCAAGTTAATGACGCCATCATCTCGACACTCGAGTGTCGCTCCAACGTTTATCGTTCTTCTCCATCGTCATGTCTTGGCCAATGGCCACTCCTTCTTCAGTCTTCACTCTCCAGTCTTCACTCTTCAGTTCCCCAAAGCTGCCTTTTGGCCCAGTCGATTTCTCCTCTTCTCGCCGTCTTCCTTTTAACGCTTTTGGCATGGGCCTGCTGGTCTTTTTTTGTACGCAAACGGCCTCATAACCAATTTCTAAACGCCAAAGCCCAAAGAACCGAACCAAACTGGCCAAGACATGGCCAAGTGACATGCAAAGCGAAAGCCAAGAGGGGTTAACAGGGTACAGTGGATACGCTTAGTAAGGAAAGTTTGAGAGCTCTATTTATATAGTGTTAATACTCTAAGGAAATATTAAGATTAAATATCTACCAATCTGAGAAAGATGTATGTAATGTATGTGAAAACATTCTTGGGTACATTGTAGCCAATGTTTACTGTGTCAACTAACAACCAACCAAATAAAAAGGCAACTACAACACGAAACATGACAGAAATGATGTCAAGCCAGCGGGCAACACGAAACAACAACACAAGTTGAAAAAAAGAAATACTAACAGGAACAACCATATGGATCGAACTTCTGCGATTTGTTCTCAACTTCAAGTACACAGAGAGAAAATAAGACCTTTTTCTATTAAACATAAGTAATAATTAAACTAAAAGAGATCTTTTAAAAAGTTTAAAAGCTTGTTCAGTCTTTGAAAAAATCTTCTCCAAAGATATGCAAATTTATTTAGTTTTGTTAACAACATATTGACTGATCTGTTTGGCTATCAAATCAACTTGTTTTCCTTACTTTTTGCTGTGTATTATGTTTGTTGGTATCTGTGGGCTTGTTTGTTAACCGAGTTTTGTAGGTGGGTTTTTAACCCAGTGCAGGAAAGACAACAAAAGACCGTAAAGACATGGACAATGGCACAACGGCAAAGACGAAGCCAAATGGCGAGGCAAAAGGTTACCGTAGAATGCCATCAATGACCTTGACACACCAACCCGCACGCACACACACTCGTATTCACCTGGAAATAAACACACCTTCCTTCCGCTGCGAGCAAATAACCGTAACAGAAAGGTAACAAACCAAAAAAAAAAAATGGAAAAATGAAGCAAATGAGGCAAACCAACGAAATCCGAAAACGGCAATAAGAGAAGTTGCCTTCAAGGCGAAGGTAGCCTTTTTTATTTCTTTTTTGTTTTTGTTGCTGTTGCTGTTGCTGTTGCTGTAGCTGCCACTTATCGCGATCGTATATGTGTATGTGTGTGTGTGCTTGTGTGCTATTACCAATTTGTGTTGTACGTGTTCCTTCAATGCCCAATGCTAATCCAAAAACACATATTCGTTTCTGCCACAGGCGACAAGAAAGTTGTTAATGCCTTTGCCAAAATAGTTCTATAAACTACTAAATACGATATTTTTATATATATTTATGTAATTTTATATACTTCAGAGAGATATTTCAGACAACACCCCACTAAACACCAGGTAGCCACTTCACCTGCGCCACTTTGGTCGCCTGGACATTGCCGTTAGACCCTGCGCAGGGGCTTTATTGTCTATTTGCCTGGGTATTTGCAGAATGATGTCTCTGTATGCGTGTTGTCTCTGTGTTTTTACCTTTTTCCAAGGGACCAACCCCTCACTATAACAACAAAAACAAAAACATACGACAGGTAAAATGTGAGATAACGGGGAAAAACGCTCGACGGCAATAAACATGAACCTGCCCGAAAATGTGGAAAGGTATTTCTTTCCCAGGCCAAGGAATTTGCACAGGTGACACGAAGATACTTAACTCCAAGAGATCCCAACCCACAGCCCACATCAAATATCCCACATCCGCAACCGTTTCCACATCCACATCTACATCTACATCCACATCCACATCCGCATCCGCCGAGAGGGAACCTCTACGTTTCCTCCCAACTTAAATCCACAGATGAACCCCATGCCCATAAATGTCACATTAAAAACTCGACTTATGGTCACTCGTTCACCTTTTTTATGTACTTTTAAAAAGGTGTTAAATTTACGGCCAAGTGAAAAACAATTCGAGTTGGTCATTAGGTTTGTACTACACAAAAGTAGTTTTCTACTAAGAGTTAGATGGAAATAATTGGATTAACGGAACGTTAAGAACATGCTAAATCTTCTAGACCATCCTATTACTATGTTTATTAGATACATCTACAGTATCCTTTCCAGTTAATATAATAATAATAAAATTATAACCTTTTGAAAAATTGCATCTTATAAGTCATCCGTAAATAGGGGTTCATCCGAAACACAAAAAATATAATAAATTAGCTATCATTACATTAGATTACTGCTTTTTTGTTTACCCTGAGATGCGATTAGAAAATACATTTGTTTTTCGGCGGAGGGTAAGCTAGAGTACCATTATTTGCCCTCAGATGTTTTTTAGTCTTATCTATGCAGTTCCATTAACATTACAAGTTACATTATTCGATTTGGGAATTTCTGATCTACTTTTGAATTTGGATAACATACCAATTGTTATATTAAGTTCTGTAAAAATCTGATGACTATATCCCTTGCTAGTCTCTAGTGACTAATAGGCTTTTGTTTTTTTCATTCATATGCTGATTATTTATTTGGGATTTTGTTTTCAATGAAGTCTGTAGCCCCAAGGAGATTAAAACTAAGACTAATAATTTTCGTATGAAACCAAAAAAAGCTCGGATTTTCGTGATTAATTCAAAAGCACAGACTATGTAGTAAGATCACGTTGTTATACCTAAAAGTTTAGATATTTCAAGACCTTTTGGGGGTGAATTTAAGACTTAATATGGTACATATTTCTAAATGGGATTATAGATTTATATATAGATTGGTAACTTACCGCAGACATCCAGCCATCCTTCGATTCTGCTGGGGTAGGAAATCGCTGAGGACCGGCTTAAATAAGTTCGACGTCCCATTTTGTGGGGGTGGTAATTTTAGGTCTAGGTGGATGCTGTGCCGTCTCTCTCTCTCTCTCTCTCTCTCTGGTTTCTCTCTTCGTCGCTGTTTTCTGGTCTCCCTTACCTCCTTTTTTGCTCTCTCACTTATCGTTTAGCTTATCGACTCGTTGAGTTGATGTTGCTGCTGCTGCTGCTGTTGTTGTTGTCGTTGTTGTTGCTGCTGCTTAATTTGAATATTGATTTTGTTTGTTCTTGCTGTTGTTGTTTTGGTTTTTATTGCACTTGTGCCTTATGGCGTTTTTTTTTGTTAGGGTATAGGGGTTTAATTATTGTAAAACAAAAGATTAAAGCAAAACAAATAAAAGTCCGAGATTGGTGGCGATTTCAAGAGCAGGTTGCCGCCGTTGTTGTTTTTGTTATTATTTGATTTATACAAATTCCAATTCCGATTCCGCTCTTTGCTTTAATCTCCATCTTTCCTCTCTATCTCTTCACTTGTTTTTCGGTGTTTTTAGGGCTTTTTTCCTGTTATTTTCGTAACAGCTGAGTGGCATTTTTGCGGTACCTCTTTTTTTCGGCTCTTCAACTTATTTTATTGTTGTCGTTTTTGTTGTTGTTATCACCAGAAACCAGAAACTTTATTTTGCACCTGTATTTGTATGTATTAATATGCGTGCTTGTATGTATTTTATTTTGGTGTATTGTATTATTTTTAAATCACGACTCCGCCAAAAACAACAACAAATGAAGCATGTGCGCCTGTTTTCGGCTTTTCATTTGTATGTGTGCGTTCCAGAAATGTTAACCTTGTTTTTTGTTTTTGGAGGTGACACTCCACTCTCCCACACCACACTTGAACAAAAAATAAATAATTTTGAAAACTCGCGGCGGATTTTCACGCAACGTCCGCAGGCTTTCGACCGCCGCGTTTTTGTGCGCGATTCCACTGGTGTTTCTTTCTATCTCGTTTCTCGCTGACTATTTGGCCTTTTATACCCATTACCCTAGGCTTAGAAGAGTTTATTGTTTTACTCTAACGTTTTAAGATGTAAGCGTTTTTAATTGTATAAAGTGTATACATTTTTTTACTAGGATTACTAAACGAGTTGATTAAATCATGTCTACTCATCTGTATTATTAATTTTTAATCTTATGATTTAATTGCGATATTCTTAATATTAAAATTAGACGCTGGTTGATTGAGAAACTTTAATGTCTGACATTTAACTCCATAAAAATAATAAGCCCTTTTTCAGAACTATCTGAAGTTTGCAAATATACTTAAATAAAATATACTTAATAAATGGTGAGCAAAGTTACGGGTATTTTTGAGTCGATACACTTGACTACACCGTCCCTTCTCGTTCGTATCTCGCTGTTTCTTTCTCTGTCGTTTCTCGCTAACAATAAATAAGGCTAAAGTTTGAGGTTTTCAAAAGAAAAAAATATGTCCACACTGTTCTTGGTTTTTATTAATGTTGGCTTTTAATTTTCATTAATAATTTAATATTTTCATGTTTAAAAAATATAATTTTAACATTTTGCATGATTATAGTTTGACAGAATACTGGTTTATGTAACTAAGTAAGGCACTAAATACGAAACTCAAAAATTTAAAAATAACGGCCAAAAATCGCGCGCCATATTTAAATAAAAAGATGGTGCATATATTTACTTTATTTAAAGATGAGACCGCTCTGCGTTGTCTTGCTAATAATTAAGTGATTGGCATTTTGTAAAATGAAATATAGTTTTTTTTTTCAATATTTAAGTACCGCTTCAAAAATCAAATTTAAATTCCAACGGCTAAGAACCAAGAGCCATGCTTAGTGCTGTACAACGCCGCATGGCTGAAGCAGCAGTAGGCGTGAATTTAAAATTTTTAATGTCTGGAAGTTTATAAGCTTAAAAATTAAACACCAGTTTTTAAGTTCTGCGCCACTGAATAGGACCTGCAAGTCACGGGAAATTCACATATTAATTAATTAATTGCTGCTATAAAAGCACGCGACGGTCACACTGCCATTTAAGAAGTGTTTTTGCATTTACAGTTCAAACGGCATTTTTTGTGCGCGTCCCTTTTTTTGTTTAATTGAATGCGATGGAAACTCCACGTCGAAAGCTGCGCAATTTGCACATGGAGAATGTTCAAAATAGTAGTACCCCGATAAACGTGCCGCCCTCACCGATGCTAAAGACGCTGGGCCACGGAACCGGTGTCAGCGTTTATCGCCTGGACCGTTCGCCTCGTCATGGCCAAATCCGCTCGCCGTGGGCCGTCAAACGGATCACCCAACGGATGAGGGTCAGGAAGGATATGATATTCAATGAACGGATTGTCCACGAGGCCGATATCTTACGGTAAGATTTGGTTAAGACCTGTCTCCTTTTCAATACAATTGTGTCCGCGTCCTGCGTATGAGTGTGTGTGAGTGCGGATGCTGAATGTGCGCGTGTGTTAAGGTGGTCCGATATGTGGGTCAGAGATTCATTAGGGTGGTGTATAGCTAACAAAAATGGTTTAAGCTCCATTCAGTTTTTTATCAAATAACTTTCGAGAAAACAAGCTTTTAATTAATTGCCCATTATTTTAATACAACTGCTATGATAGAACATATTTTATAGCCGTTACTGGCAGAGTAATGCTGGTTTCAGGTTCTATCAACGGATGGCGTTTTCAGCTGAACGCTTATTCATTTCGAAATTAATTAAATCACCCAAAAACGGCCCAAGAACTTTAAATGAAATGAGTAAAATGAATTTGTACTTTTTAGCAAGCTTAAACATCCAAATATTGTTGGCTTCCGAGGCGTTACCACCAATAATGATGGCATCAATACATTGGCACTGGAAATGTGCACCACTTCACTGGGCTCCATACTCGAGGAACGTCATGACGAAGATCTGGGTCCTTTGCCGGCCAAACACACCTATAGGATGATCATAGACGTGGCCATGGCGCTGGATTTTCTTCACAACAAAGCTCGAATGATGCATGGTGACCTGAAGTCCTTTAATGTCCTGGTCAAGGGAGAGTTTGAGATATGCAAATTGTGTGATTTTGGGGTCGCACTACCGCTGGACGAGCAAGGCGAGGTTAACTTTCTAAAGAACACCGATCTTCGCTATGTGGGTGAGTAAGACCAGCTAGCTGTGAATGTTTCTGGATTACCAGCTTAATATCTGAATATGTACTTACCCTTTTTTTTTTTAGGAACTTCCCTTTGGTGCGCTCCGGAGGTCATTGACGAAATGGATATCATTGACAGCAAGGCAGACATATTCAGCTTTGGACTGGTTATCTACGAAACTCTCGCCTTGGTGCCCCCGCATACCTTGGAACTCGATGCAGCACTTGTCGAGGATTTGGAAAGTTCCAGCGATATGCCCACTGACACGGAAAAGCTGCAGCGCAAGCAATTGGAGTTCTCCCATGATGAAAAGAAGGACGAACTAGTTGCTGAAATGGAAGAACATACAGACAACGATATGAGTCAGGATGTGGTTGACGACGAGGAGATAGTTGACGATATTGAGGATGACACCAAGGAGAACGATATCTGCGACTTATCACTGAACAATCTTCAATCAGCTTGCGGTACACGTCCACCACTGCCAGTGGCCTTTCAACTCAGCGACGATTACAACTGCATCGTGGAACTGTTCTACCTTTGCACAAACACTCTGAGCGAGGATCGTCCAAATGCCGAGACCATTTGGAAATGCCTGGAGAACAATGCCGCAAATGTCGCAACTGGAAGCGATTAGACTGATGATCAATCTTATCGTCCACACTTCACAATCTTCCTGTACTTGAAAATTACCTCTTTTTTTTAAGTTGTCTCATTTTTGTTTTGCTCGTATGAATAACTAGCTGTAATATCTACTCTGTGAGAAGAAACAAACGACAATTGTACGCATGAAGAATAGCGGTTGCATTATATATATCCATATGTACTTTATCGTTTACACTTCCTTTACTGAAAAATCAGCTCTTGAATGTATTTTCTTAAGTCGTCTTATTTTTGTTTTGCCTGTATGACTAACTAGCTATAATATCTACTCTGTGAGAAGAAACAATGAAAGATGACATTTGCACGCATACGAAATAGCGTTCGCACTATAAATATAAATGATTTGATACGTTAAGTGTACATATTCAGAAGCCAAATATGAGGAATAAATCGAATCCCAAACGAATTTCAAACTTGATGGTTTCAAATTTTTAAGAATATTGAAAGGTGGTTAATTGACGATATCTATAATTAGCTAGTTCTTTTCAAGAAATGGTCCTGAAATAGAAGAACTCAAATGTATATAACACCTACTAACGACAATTAATTGGGGCCTTTTTTGAAGTTAAGACTTGGTTGAAATATTGAAAGAAAAAATTCAACTTTTGTAACCTAGAAATAAGTAAAAATAAACCAATTATTTTACAGATTCGCTAACTAAAGAATTTCACATAAAACTATACTAAACAAACATAATTTAAAAACTTTATATTAACACATAATCTTTTTTTTCACATTTAAAATAACATAAGATTGAAAAATGTTGTGATACAAATATATGGTTTGGTTCCAACCACCCAGAAAAATCATTTTCCGCACAAGCTCGGTTACAAGTTCACTTAGGTTTATTAAAAAATAATAATACATACATCAAAATATAAGTTTTTCTTTCGTGATTTGCTTCTCGGTCTTTTTTTTTCAGTTATTCAGCGGGAATATACTTTACTTTATATATATATATAAATATATATTTGCGTGTGCTTGGGAATTGAGGATTGAGGAGACTTCTTTGTTCGATAAAAGTTCAGATTGCTAGGAAATATATAGGGATATAAGGATGGGAATGAGGGGTGTGATTGGGCGATACGCATTTAGATATAGTTTCAGATTCGCTGCTGGCCTAGATCTTGGTATCTATCTAGGGTAGTTCGTATGGTTAGTTAATGCCTGTTCCGTCTCATAAATAAGGATATTATTGTTAACTTCAAGTTGAGCAGATCGCATCGCATCTGCCTTGAGTGGCTTTCTATCGATTTGACTAAAGCGTATACAGACTTCAATTATGTCTACAGGGGATACGTATTTAACATAGATTTTAGAGTTTAGTGTATATATTCTCTTGTATATATATAAAAAGTATCGAATTGCTCTCTTGAAGGCGAAGGCGCTGTTGGTGTTTCGTTTGTTTTGTTAACTTTATATCCTCGTTATTCTCTCCTCACTTCGTAACTCTTAATGATGACAATTACAACAAACAACTTGAACGAGTATTGGGACACATTTACGAAAAACAAGAGTTAAAATTACAAAAAATACACTGTTTAAAATAAGATAAACAAATATAATGAGTAATGCCAAAAAAAAAAACGTGAAGCTGGTCTAAAAAAGTACATAGCAGACTTACACAGACTTATCGTATCAAATTAAACAAATTTCGCAAATCAAGAACCATTCATATTTTTGGGATTTTTTTCGACTTGTCAAAGTACATAAAATGGAATGTTTTGGTTATAAATTATTCATGCTCGTATGTATGATTTTGTTTACAATTATTGCCTTTTCCGAATCGTTTGATCCGAATGGTTAAGTTAAGTAAATTGATCTGCCTTCTGCATTTGATGCACTCTCTCTATTTCATTCTCTCCTCTAGCTGTCTCACTCTAGTCTAATGCAACAAGCAAGAATAATAACAAGACGTAAATCTTACAAATTTAAATACACATATATATATGCCAAGGAAAAAGATTAAAACAAGGGACTGCATTCAAAAACGTGCAAATGAATAGGTTGGTTTTTTGTGTGACTTTGAGTGTGTTCCGTGGAATGTATGAGGGAAAGTCGTATGATTACATATATCATAATCGTTTTTTATATATCGCTCACTCACTATACAAGTTGAAATTTTGCAGAAATTTAGCTTTACGTAATACGCGTGATATTTAAACATTTACAGGATATGAACCAAGATATTTGCCTAGATTTCTACTATTCTCAATTTGACTCAATCAATCATGTTTTCTGATCTTATAAATATAATATCAAAAAACATGGTTTCTTGAGCAGTTTGACAGTCTATATAGTAAGTGAGCTATATAAATAAACGATCTGTATACATATGATTAGCTGGCCTAACTTGTATAACATTAAATAATTGACTCGAGTTTAACGAACTTATTCGATCTTAAGGAAAGTTAAGTCTGATAAACTGAAAATCCTCTACGCTTCTCTGCTGTGGTTTCGCGTTTTCCGTTGCTTGAGTTCGGGATGCTGCTAGATGTGCTGTCTTTCCTATGATTAATCCTACAAATGCAGCACACCATCCTTGACATCACTGGCCATTATCGTGGATGCATTGGAGGCTGCCTGCTGGTGGTGCGACGAGGGTGATGAGGATAATGGTGGCTGATTGTGATTGTGATTGCCGGCTGATGTGGACGTGGGACTCTCGTCAAGTGTCACGCCCGTTAGGTCAACGATATCGTCCTGATCGTCGTGCTCGATTTCGTCGGAGGTGTTGGTATTATTAGTGTGATGTGACCCACTGGACAGCTGGCTATTCCTCGAGAAGGATCCGCGATGCGTAGACGTTAGCGTGCGCTGATTGGCCGGTTTCACAGTGATTATCAAATTAGAGCTATTGGCCACCATCATGTCTGTGACTTGATCGAGGGTCTTGCCAGCCACTTCGATGCCATTTACCTCGATCACCTCATCGTTAACGGCCAGCAAGCCGGTACTTTCGGCCAGGCCACCCGGCACTAAACGGGATATAAATATGCCCGGTTGCTTCTCCAGTCCACTGGCCGTAACCCTCACCGAGGTGCCATCCCTTATATAGAATCCCAAGGGCTTATCGCTACCGTGCTTTAGCAACCGAACTCTTCGATGCGTTTCCGGCACAATATCCACATCTATAATGGCCGAAACCTGACGAAAATCATGCGGTATTGATATCGACGGGGCCTTTGTCTTCACGGGCGTATGTCCCATCAGTATGCTGCCGATAAGATTCCTCGGTTTCATTGTCCCAAAGCCAGAGTACTCATTTAGATCATCTAAGGAGGAGATGAGGTTTTGAGAGGTTTTCACAATAAATTATTTATACTAACCTTTCCGCTGCACTATGACTCGTAGAAGTGGACGTGCTGTTTTCAGTGCACGGCCAAAGTTATCGTCGTTATTGATCGGCAACAGATCGTTGTCCCGCGGATCGATATAGAGTATGAGAAACTGGATGTTGGTTAGCTTGTGCAGCTGCTCAACGAGGGCCGCAAATTTGTCGAAGCTCTGCTCCGTCTCATTTCGCTTGAAACTCCACCGCCGGAACTCCGCATCAAACTTGAAGATTGAATTTAATTATTAAAGAAAGTTTATACAAATTGTATACACTAAACTTTTTGGGTTACAATTCATTCCTATTTCTGGTATTGGGTATCACTTGTTGATTCGTTTTGTTTATTTTATGAGAACTCCCTGAATTATAAGTGGTTTAGGCATACTTTAAGCTCAATTAACCTTATTAAAATAATGTCTAGCTAAGGGTTTAATTTCGTTTGTTGTTGTTATAGAAAAAGCCATTGTTTTTGTACTTTGCACTGCTGCAGTGTAGTTTTACTGGATCAAATACCTGACCTGAGAAAAATCAGTGAAAACAGGGTGGTTTTTGAGATCAACAGATTGTCCATTATTACTCTATTAAGGGAGCCAATGGGGATATACATAGAAGTAAAATCTCAGTAGACTGTTGAATAATTTCTCATCTTGAACCACCATTTATGGGCGCATCTGTTGCGCTAACTCAACAGATAGCGGAAATATTATTCATTTTAGATATTCACAGTTTGAACTACAATATTCCCTAGGGTTTTCACTAACTTTGCCGTCTCCGAACTCCGATTCCAACAATTAATCCCATTTCTGTGCGCATGAATCAGCAGCTCAGCGTCGATGAAAGGGGCGTGGATTTCAGGGGCTACATAAATGTAGAAAATAGGACTCACCTTCGATTTCACCTCGATCAGATTCGAATCAGCGTTCGCCGTGCCAGACGTTGTGTTTATCTTGTTCTTCGACATCTTGCTGCGTTTCAATACAATGCGATTCGATTTGATCCGATCAAAAGTGCACACAATTTTCTCGCCTCACACACAGCACAAAACACAGAGCAGTTCAGTTTCTCTGATTCTGATCTGATCTTCAGGATCGAAATCGAACCGATATCGCCCGATACGAACCGAAACCGAACTAAACTGCAGCGTACCGATGGCGGGGGCAACGATTGTTTGGGGTCGACAATAAATTAGAGTTAGAAATCTAAATTAAAACTAATTAAATAAAAGAAATGGATGGAGGTGTGTGGATGGTAATAATTCCAGTGTGACCGCGCAATAATTCCACAAATATATCATTTTCATCTTTCAAAAATACTAAAAAAGTGTATGGCATCCGATTGCTATCGATATATCGACAGTTCCAGAGCAGCCCTGAAAGGTGCATTAGTGTAGAGACAGTTTGTTTGTGTATGCTAGGTGAACTTGCTGATGTGCTACATCTGTAAAAGGGCAGAAAAATACCATCAATACAGCGTTTTATCAATACATAACAATATATATCTTTTTTTATTTATTTAAATCTTTAAGTTTACCAATTCTGTATTCAACTGGCTAAACAAATTTCCAAACAAAATCAAACGTCTTGCAAATATCACATATGCCCCAATTGTAGCTCAGCATCAGCGACGAGGGTTACTGTAAAATGGAAACTGTTTTTGTGTGTTGTTGTCGAGCGTGAAGTGTGCAATTAGACAACTGAATTTGTTTAAATGTGACGAGAAACGAGAAAAGATAAACAACAAGGCAGGCGAAGCCGAGCGAATCGATTTCAAAACAATAAAAAGCTGCTAAATAAACTTTCCTGTCGCTCGCAAATCCGGAAATAGGGAATTTCGAAAAGTGCCACTATATACATATATATATATATATGTACATATATTAATATATATATGTAAGAGAGCGTGCGAAAACAGAAACCCAAACAACGGATAAGGAGAGACGAGTGGCGGGGTCCGGAGAAAAGGAAAAGCCAAGCACATACATACATTTATTTTGGCCACTTTTCCAAGCCAGCTGGGAAAAGGCGGTGAAATTGGGACTTTCGGCGGTCCAAAGAGCTCAGCTGCAGGAATAAGCTGACGAAACGGAAACCTTGAGACACCGACTCTCACGCACACCAGCGAACGTCAACTTAAGCACGCACACACACACACATATAACCACGCAAGAGAAGGACAAGCAGGGACTTCAACATGAGTTCGGTAGGATAAACAAATTATCCAAATAATTACTAGTTTGGCGGTAAAATCGAAAAATAGTCTCCAGATTAAAGTAATAGTTGAGGTCTTAGGACTCGTAGGAATACATTCATAGATGCTTCCAGAACCTTGTTATAATATATATTTTTGGGGACAAATTTGATTCTAAAAGAAAATAGTAAATGAAAATCCATTCTTACCAATAAGTATTCCGACTCCTACTCAAGTAAACATAGAAACTCCATAGATATGTTCTGTGCATGGCTGTTTGTGTCTGCCATCTTGAACGGTAGACAAGGTTTTTGTAATATTTTGAACGATAAAATATTAATAAAAAAAACTTATATTACTCTTAAGATAACAAGCAAAGCTAAATTCAAACTAATATTACCAATTTTCCTTGATTTTAACAGCAATACTCAAATGTGGAGAACCTGTCGCCGCAGACGATAAGGCAGGTGATGCGGGAGCTCCAGGAAATGGAGACCACGCCACCCGAGGGCATCAAAGTGCTAATCAATGAGAGTGATGTGACGGATATTCAGGCGCTGATCGACGGACCTGCTGGCACTCCGTACGCCTCTGGAGTTTTCCGCGTTAAACTGACGCTGAACAAGGACTTCCCGCAAACGCCGCCAAAGGCGTACTTCCTCACTAAGATCTTTCACCCGAATGTCGCCGCCAATGGGGAGATCTGTGTGAACACACTGAAGAAGGACTGGAAGCCGGACTTGGGCATCAAGCACATTCTGCTCACCATCAAATGCCTGCTGATTGTCCCGAATCCAGAATCGGCGCTTAATGAGGAAGCCGGCAAGATGCTTTTGGAGCGTTACGACGATTACTCTCAGCGGGCGCGCATGATGACGGAGATCCATGCTCAGGTAAATTAGGGGTTTAATTATCCTATATGAAAAAATATTTATCCCACTTAGTTAACATCTCTCTTACCTCCGCTTTGATTGAAACATGATTTTCTAATAAATTCCGTATTATGTTCAATTTTAGCCCGCCAAATGCGGTGCAGGCGCTGCTGGCGAAGCCAAAGACGACGATGGACCATCGACGAAGAAGCACGCAGGCCTGGACAAGAAGCTGCAGGACAAGAAGAAGGAGAAGTTGCTCAAGGAGAAAAAGCGCATGCTGAAGAGATTATGAGAGGCATAAGGCGGAGTTCCATGGACTAGCTAATCAACCATGAGCGGTAAGCAGTAGCAGGAGGAAAACGTCGGATGGTTAGATGATAAGGAATGGATGAGTGCGAGCGTTACACCCCACAACCACTAGAATGGCGGCAGGATCGAAGCTAGCATGGTGGAATTAGAGGAGCAGGCGCGCTATGAAATTTTACACTGATCTGAAACAAAACAAAAAATCACAAAAAAAAAAAAAAGAAAAGAAAAGAAAAGAAGAAAATTGAGCAACTGAGGAAATGGGAGTCAACGATGGAAACCCAGATAAGAAAACCACATCATTTGAAGGCTAATATCGGAAATGGAAGTTAAAGCTGCAAAATTTTGGGTAGAACGAGAGAGAGAAAGAACCACTCCAAAGAAATGTGCATCCAGTTACCATATACGATTATTTAAACCACATTTTTTGGTGACAGCCACCTGTCAACCGAGCCTAGAATGTAGAAACAAACAAACAAAAACCAACCAAGAGAAATGGGGAATGCTATCATCTCCTAAGTAATTTATGTAGTTCTCTTTTTTCTTAACGCTCCTGAGCTATTCTAGCATAATTTATGTAATTAGATTAAAGAAAAATAAGGAGAACATTATCGCCTCATACATGCCACAACCCCCACACCCACCCAAATCTCTCTTAAAAAACATCACCAACATTACCTTAATGAGCATTATTATCGTTCACCTGGGTTCTGTCTATACATTGGTCAATAATCCAATCGTCTGGCCAATGTATGGACACCACCTTCATATTTAAACTTACTCCACCAAACTTTTTTTTTTGTGTCTTTTTTAAAATTGTATTCATTTAGTTATAAATTTAATAAATTTCGATTCGTTACATTCAATTGTCCTGCCTAGGTTTAAGATACATACAAAAAGAAAACAACCACGCATCCAACAAACAAACACACAAAAAATACATAAAACTATTATTGAAAAAGAAATACAAAACAAAAGCTGTAAAAGATCGATTGCACATTCTGTAGAGATTTAGTTTTAAGTACTTGTAAAACTCCAAAACACTCGACTCGACGCCGAACGGATTGGAATGGAGCGGAAAGTATTGGAAAGGCACGGTGATAAGTGCTTGGGAATCCTCGTCCTTTTTCGTTCTATATATCGCTATATCTTTCACGCCTGCTGCTCTCTCTCTCTCTCACTCCTTTCGTTCGAACATCCTTTTCAAGCTTAAACCACAAACACAAATCGAGGGCGATAAGTAAAAAAAAGCAATAAAAAAGAATAAAATTCCAAGAAATATTTAAAAACACATTCTAAAAAATCAACATATAGAACTTAATCATGAACAAGGGAGACAAAATTTTCTATATTTTTGGTAAGTCAGCCAGAGTCAAATTGTCGTGAAAACTTTAACAAGTGAAAATGTGTTAAATACTGTTAAAAAATCCTATAGAAATATTATCTTATTTGGTTTTTAGATATCAAAAAACATTTGTAGAATTGATCATTACAAATTTCGCTATGCATAATAGTTAGCACTTGGTTTTCCAGATCACGTAACGCGTGCCAATAACAAATGGCATTTCCTAGTTCCGCTTCGCTCGCCTTCCCTTTCCGCCCACGCCCACAGCTCCCCTTTTACCCGCATGGCCCACCGCCCACCGGAAGAGTTTATCGGTGTTTTGGGGAGTTACTCGATTCCCGCGATTCTGCGAAATGTCATGAGACACTCGGCATACAAACAAGCAAACGAGACAAACTAACATTCTCATTCTCGAGAGCGGTGACTGTGGGTCTGAGTAGGTGTGCTCGCGGTTCTTCCCCTCTCGCTTCCACTCTCTAGTTGGCTTTGTCTAACCGCCAACGCTTTTGAGCCAGGCCAACATTCCAATCGGGTCGGATCGGATCGGGTCTAACCTTCAGGGAACTTGTCGCTCGAACCAAATATTGTCGCAAAGTCAGAATCAGAATTTCACGTATATAGCGAGGCTTGAATACTCTTTAGTTATAAGATTTGATCTTCTAAAGTGTTAAAGTATTTCAAAAATCGTTCTTTCCTTCCGTTTTTTCTTAATTTTTCTTAGGTTAATGTGATGGCCCTAAAGGTCCTTAATTGCTGCCAGTAAGTAGGCAATGTTTTTTTCTAATCGACCAGTTTACCATAGGATTTTGATATGAATACACTCTGCTAAAGTTAGGGTATTAGCCAGCTCTCTCTTCGGAATCCGATTCCGAATCGGACTGAGTTCGATTTCGATTGTTCGGACTGGCTTTTGGCTCTCTCGCGCTCTCGAGTTGGACTTGAATGAATGGCCAGCAGATGGACCGACCGCAAAATGGAAAATGCCGATCGATGTTGGAGCAAGGGGACAGAGTACGGGGTATGGGGAGGGGCCAAGAGGGAGCGGCGATCGCCAATTTCAGCTAAAGCTAAAGCTAAAGCCAAAAGCCAGCAGCTACAGCTACAGCAGCAACAGCAACAACAACAACAAACTGAAAAGCGAATAACAAACGGCAAAAGCAAAGCCAATGGCAGCAGGTAGATCAGTTGTGAATCTGGCAACAAACCATTTGGCTGGGGCTGCTGCTCCAAAACAACAAAAACTACAACAAAATAAAAAATTTACAAAAAAATAATAAAGAATAACAACAAAAACAACGCGATCGATCCTCTCTTCGGCTCCAAATGTTCGCGTGTGTGTGTGTGTGAGTGAGTGTGCTCCTATCGATACGGATGCATTGTGTTTATTATATTGTTGTTGTGGTTTTTGCCGCGTTTCTAAGCACAAAATATATATCCCTAATAATCATACATCTATATATATATCTGAAATATATACAAATCAGTTAATATAAGGTTTTACCTATAAAGATATTTCTTAACCAAGTTTTAAACCCTTTTGACTGTGATTGCCTTTCAAGGATAGCCTTTTCCCGCTCGAAAAATTGAAAAGCGCGTGTTTTCACTAGCTTTTAGCGGTCAATCTGGCGCCCTAATGGCCTTTTTAAAAACATCTGTTTGCCCAGCTGCCCATGTGTTTGTTGGCTAATTGGCCAATACCCTGTCCCCTCTCGTCGACACTCTTACCACATATTTATCCACAACTCTCAACTTGTTTGTTTTTTTGTTTTGTTTTTGTTTCTGTTAAGTGATCGATAAATATATGATATATGGTGATGATCTGCTATGCTGATCAGTGTGATCTTCAGTGATCGGATGTGCAAGAAAGTAATATATCTAAAACTGAACCCGAACCCCTAAAAGATCTGATTAAAATCCGAAAAACAAAGAGCTATATTAAAGACCTATCTACCTACATTTTTTTCCAAGTGCCAAGTGACCTTGTGTGGCATCCTCATCACGGTTCTCGATCAAACTAGAACACATCCGTATAAGTGCCAGTACGTGATACCGTTTATAAGGTGCATATATAGCCAATGGACGTGGGCTGTTTGCCATTAGCTGCACAAATCTGAACGAATCAAATCGAAATCCAATGGCATGGAATCGAGTTAACGCACATCGATGACGATGTCGGTGTTAGCCCTGTTTTGTTGTTGGTATTTAGCATACAAAATGGGATTACAGTGAGACCTAGGGATATATTTTGATAGCTAAAGGTTATCTACCTACTCAGATCGATCATAACTAGCTGTTAGATTCATTGACAAACCCCATTTTTATGAGTTTCATTATTAATTTGATTCCACGAAGTTGATTAGTTCATTAACTAATACTCATTCAGCAAAACTATCAATTTTAGTCAATGAAATCGAATCGAGTTTGCTCATTCAAAACCCAAGGCGAGGATCGCCTTAGGAATGCTGCACTGTGGTTACAGGTATATGACAAACTGACAAGTACGACACACAAACACACACTCCATCCCAGACAGATCACGGTTCTATATCGTTTGAATATATATATATGTGTATATTTATAATGTATAATAATGTGTGGGTCGAAGAAAGAAAGAAAACAGCATCAGGAATGAGTTAAGCTAAGTCGCGCAAATAACTCGCTCGTTTCGTCATTTTGAGCAGCTATCAATATTTGATATATGTCCAAATACACAGGCATGGCTATATAGATATATGTTCATAATATGTACGTATGCAAATCGATTCCAAGATCTACACCAAGAAAAATGTGTGAATTTTTACAGAAGAACGGAATCACATATGTATGAATACATTTAGCATGGCTTAGAAGAAGATTAGGTCTTTCGTAGGGAAAATAAATTACTTTTAAACTAATTTAGAGAATTAATAAAAGATCAAATATCTGATAACCTTATAATTGTGACTTAGAAAGTGTTATTTCTATTATTAATATTTTTTCCCTGTGCACATACATAGACCGATCGCCTTGACGGCGGGCATCGTAAAATCCTCCGATCTTGTAGATTTGTTGACTCCAAACCCCGTTTGTGTGTCAACAGTATTATTGTGTTTTAAATCTGTCTGTTTCTGCTGTTTTTTTTCTTCTGTTTGTTTCGAGAACGCTTGAGCGTTTCATTAACAGGCGGGGGCGGGTCGCCAGGCGAAGGCGTTCCAAATGCTTTGGCCAAAAACGAAAACTAAAACTCATTTTGACCAAATGCGTTCGAAACTAAAACTATGCGGCGTAACAGCGAGTGGGCAGCTCCGACAGTTCAAAGTTGTTCAAAAACCAGCAATTATCATTAACCAAATGATCGGACGATGCTAGAGATCGGAGAAGTGGAGAACCTTAAAATCAAGTCAAGGAGATGACAAAATAGAAATAATTGATCCTTGTAGTTGACTAGAAAATGGGGATTTTTTTTTAAGATTAACCATATGATAAGTATACGTAATAAGTATACGTAATAAGTATACGTAATAAGCATACGTAATAAGTATACGTTGAGTAACTTAAATGTTATATGGGAGCATCTTAACTTAATAAAATACAAAAAATTCGAATTTTAGCCTCATTCCGCACAACTATAAATGTTATTAAGAAGTTCACAAGTAAATAAAAAGCACAGCTTCAATAATAAACCACTTAACACCTACTTATCGTTATAATTTTTAAATTTAATGGGGTGATCGATCGGATAAGTGGAACATAAAAAGAGGCTGCGGAGACAAATCAAAATGTGATTGATTTTTAATATCAAGTAAAATCAAAATGGTATATGAATGTTCTTCGTTTCGAGACACTCACATTAATCTTTTGATAAGATCCTTGAATCTGATCATATTCATATTATAATTTGAAGTAAAAAAAAGTGAAAATTGTGCCTTAAATAATTTAACAAAAAAGAGTTTAAGAAGCTCTTAGTGGTATTAAATATAATTAATTACTTTGGATAATGTCTAAACTATCAACTGGCTCCATCTTTCGGAATTCAGCCGCTATGGTCTAAAGTTTAAATTTAAAGCCTACTTTTAAACAGCCATTAAAGCCGCCTTTGGGGTTTGAAACTCAACTAAGTCAAAGGCAAAAACCAGAGAGTCTAAATCTTAAAAGCTATAAACTAAAAAATTTAATTAACCTTCACGCGGTAAATGCAACAACAACAATTAAGGAACAAAAACTTAATAAATTTATAAAAATTAAACTTATTTATGTTAAAAAATAAATATAAATGTTCTTCAGCAAATAAACGAGGAGCCTAAGAAAGTCAAACAATTGTTAAAGAAGAGCAACCAAAATATATATTCGAATATATATTTATGAGAAGAATCTGAAAGATCTGCAGCGGCTATGGCTTTAAGCAAGACCATCAAATCAAAAGCTGGCGCCAAAGACGAACAAAACGAACTGGTGAGTGCTAGATGGAGCCCCTTTAACCCATCCACTGCCCCTTAACCCACAGCAGCATGCAACTAACAATCACATTACAGTTACAGTTGTGGTCAAAATAATAGTGGTTCTTAAAGGTTAAAGATATGTAGAAGATATTAATTTGCTCTAAATCTAAAATCTATAAATGAAAATATTTTGGCATATTTTTAGTCACCTTTAAAAGAGATTTCAAAACTTTCCCTATGAACATATTCATAATCCCACTTACCACTATTATATTAACCGCAATTGTACTCCCTGTTGGCTGGAAATGTACTCACATTCGGGCCACGTTAATCGCGTAAGGTGGCTCAGGTAAGTTAAAGTAAAGCTCGCCGAGCGGGCAAAAACAATGAATGGTTGCTAGCTGCGGCGTCGACGTTGGCCGCGGCAGCGACAGAGGACAACAAAAATACAAATAAAAAACAACAAAAACAAAAAAAGGTAAAAAAGTTTTTCAGCTCAGGTGTAACAAACTAACGGTGCAGTTACCGACGACCAGCAGTCGCAGACGCGCCATCGAACACGCCGCTCGCGATCGCGCTCTCTCATTCGGATTTTCCATTTTCCGTTTTTCGTTTTCAGTCTTCAGCTTTTCCAGCTTTTCAGTTTTCCAGAGCTCTTCAACTGTTTCGTATTTCGTTTTTTTTTTTTTTTGGCTCGATCGTTTTCCGTTTCGGTTTCCATTTCGTTGGCGCTTCATTTAACACAACCGCTTAAATTGAAAACCACCTTCGAATCGATCTAAATTTAATTGTGTTTTGTTTTGTTTGTTGATTGTCGCGTTGCACTTGATTTATTTACTTTTTTGTTGTTGTTTTTGTTGTTGTTGCTGTGGTTCGCTAATTGCCTGAATGGCAAAGGCAAAGTGCAAAGTGTGACAGTGCAAGAGATAAAGAGCCAGTGCGAGGGTGAGAGAGAAGGTGAGCGGGGGCAAGTACACTCAGCAAAAATACAAATTGCCTGCAAGAGAACTTGTTCTTAAGCTGTGATTAAAGCATATATCGAAAGTATTTGGCTGGATATTTATGAGAATGTCTAAGTTAGTGTTGAGTGCAATTTTGATCTGGAAAAGTTCAAGAAACTTACACTTAAGAACAACTGAGGCTTAAAGGACTTGAAGTTGGGGAATATGTTATGTTTGTTGTGTGTGTTGATAATTCGAATATAGTTAGTTTAAGTTTCCAATACTAAAAAGCTAAGCTTGATCCTTAGACTTCCAAACTTAGTTAGATGAATTTTTGTATATATGAGGAGGGGTGCGTATACTTAATTTTATGATTAATTAGATGGTTTATAAATCAGCATGCAGAATGGTTTAGGCATTTCTGAAAGATAAAATAATACACTAGCAAGTTGCAAGAGCTAAAGTCTTCATAGTTTGTAAACTTAAAATTTAGAACTCTGAAACATAGCGAAACCTATCCATAAGTTAGAAAGCCTCCTTAAAATCTCAATCCCATTAAAAACACAATTTCTGAATATCAAAGTAAATAAACCGAACTACAAATCATAGTAAATTGTGACCTGTAAGAACCTAAGCAAACAGTAAATACCGGCTTGGGGCGAAACAACAAGTACAATTAATACAAAATCTAGGTCAGCAAATAGATTTTGTTAAGAAGGTGGAAAAAAAAAAACTAAGCTTGGAATTTCTCCCTCTAAGCGCGTGTTATTCAAAAGATATATTTTTTGCGCTGTGGAAGAATCGGAGATATATATTTTTATGCGACCCATTCCCGTTGCCAGATACGTGCAAAAAATTAATCATTAACTCGGTTTTTTTTTTTTGCTTTTTTCCTTTTTTCACTCACTCTTCGTTGTTCGTTTCTCTCTGTTTCCCCCCCCGTTTCGTTTTGCTGCTCCATTCGTTGTCGTGACATTTGTTGTTGTTATTATTATTGTTGTTCGGCTGCATATTTGCCAAACAATTTAGTTTGTACTTCTATTTTGCTTGCCATTTTGTTGATCTTTGCACGTTGTTGCATCATTGCAACCCACATGGCCCATCGCGTATACGCAATGTTGGCCCAGCAAATTAGTTCTAGTGTAAATGGCGCAATCGTATATGGCAAGTTTGTCGGGGACAAACCACCCGCCGCCGCTACCTCCGCTGCCTGCATCGCTGGGCTGCATTTTTATTTATTTTGTTTTTGTTAGAGTCGCCGCGGAAATATTTTCCCACCATTAAGAGGCCCCCAAAGTCCGAGAGATCAGGCAATATAACAACAAGGCCTGAGAAACACTCACATATAACAACAAATCAAAGCCTGCACACAAAGTGTTGGACAGTGCACAGTGAGAAAGAGTCTAAAATTAAAGAAATATACAAATTTCAGTTACAAATTAAAGATTTTTCTAAGTTAAAAGTAGAATATTATACCTGGAGTTGATGGAAATAAGTTTATTAGTTCGCTAATTTTGAGTTTTCCTAATACCAACCTCTCTGGGGCTGCCTTTTCCCAGTGTAGAGGGGGCTGAGTGAAGTGTGGGATGCGGGTGGTGGGGGCTTTTCCACTAGCACCCACAACTAATGCAGTTTTTGTTGTTGTTCCCTCAGTTGCTGCTATTATTATTATTATTATTATTATTGTTGTTGCTTTTGCTGTTGCCTGTTGGCTGTTAGTTGCTAGTTATGTGTGGCTGCCTTTTTGAAAAAGAGTTTTGTTGGCCCGTTGTTTATTGTTGTTTTTAGCCATGTTCAACTTGTTTGTCCGTTGTGGTTGTTGTGGGTGAACTATTTAAGATTTCTGCCCGCTCTTCTAAAAGGCAACAAAAAAAACACTCCTGTCTTGCGTTTTTTGGACAGCGGCCACAATTCAATGTCTTTGTATGGCCAAAAGGCGTGAATTAAATGCAACTACAACATGCCACTGGGAATGAGAAAAAGGTGCTCGGAGCGCAAGGGGTTTCTCGTGGGGGATTGGCTGGGAGTTGCTTTTCGGATACCTATTCGTCGTTGACCAGTGCGTGACTTGTGGGCTCGGCTACAACTTTGTTGTTGCTGCCTCAGATCGCTCGACTCCTAAGACTTCATGTATGAAGTTTTCTGTCGTGGCACACGAAAAAATAACCGACTTTAGATTAGTTAATCTCAGAAATAAGAGGAATTATTTAAATTTATAACAAAAATAAAAGTTGTACTTCGGCCAAAAACTCATTTAGATTGTGCAAAATTTGACTTATATTCATATCAAGCAGTGATTTCTTTCAGTGTCCCACTGCTGCTGTAGCTTTTGGGTCAAGTAAAAGGCATTGCGATTGCATTAGGAATTGTCAAAGTTTGCCAAAGCTGTGCGGCTCCAAACTCCAGCTTAGCCGAAAACAAGCGAGATTTTTTCAATAGCTGGTGGGGGCTGGTGGGTGACTCATGGTTGGGCGTGACTTCTCCTCCCCCTTCCCTTCCGTTTACTTTGGCCCAACTAAAGCCTGTGACAAAAGAGGAGGCATCGGCTTGGGCATCGCCTTAAGCGGCTTTCAGACGAACCGAACACAGAAGCTTCTCTACCATAATTTTACGTTTTTTTGCGGTGTCTTCCATCGATTCCCTTTTACAAAACAACAAATCGATTTGACCGGAAGCAATTACAAAAATGGCCAAATTGCAGTCACAATTAAATGAGTGTGTGTGTGTGTGCGCGTATTGTTGTTGTGGCAGCCTGACGTCACCGGCCGGTAGATCGCTAAAAACCGAAAATAGCAAATCGCCAGTCGACAACCCGGCCGAGATTTATTGTCCGTTCGCCTAATTATCGATTCAAGAATCGTTTTCCCGCACTAACAATCTTTTTTTGTTCGTTTTCTTTTGGGCCACTGTGGGAGAGATGTCTTGCGTCTGGGCCACATCCGTAGGAAGCATCTGAAAAGTGGCAGAGAGATGGTCAGCGGTGGTCAAAGCCAAAAGACAGCAAGTAGAACAGTTAGTATTTTGGAATTGAGTAAGCGGGCCTGGCTAGCTACTGGTCTTGTGAATATTTTATAGAAAGAAAGTTAGTTTATCGAAATCAAAATCAAGTCAAAGTTGCATATACACTCATAGATCGTGGATTACCTAGCGCTTCCCATCCAAATCCAGTCAGATATTTCTCGTGTATATCCGAAATATTCCCTAATACAGAAACTGCAGTCAGAGGGCAACATTTTCACAGGCCACAGGGTCTGATTGTTGTTGTTGTTGGGGCTGCCGCTGATCTGGTGATCTGACCTTTGGCCGCTTTTTTTTCTTCTTGAGCCCAGTTAATTCAAACTAAGCCGAAAAGTTTGTTTTGTCCGAATTTCCACTTCCAATTTCCATTTCACCGCCTTGAACTGTGCACGTTGCCCTTTTGGGTTTCGGCCTGTATTCTGTTTATTTTTTTTTATGTTGGCCAAAAAGAGAAAAATTATGCGGCTAGTGGCTGGGATGTGTTCGGTATGAAAACAGATATAGAGTGGCTCAATTACCGGGCCCAGATTCCATTTATGGCCCTTGGCTGCGGCTTAATGAGCTTGCAGAACCGTTCTGAGCTTAACGCTTGGCGAATTTAACGCCCATTGAAAAGAAGGGAGGAGTACCGGCCATGGCTATCACCTGAACGAGTATGAGTACACCATTTGAATACGATTTTAATGAGTAATAGATACCAACATGATGAGAAGGCTCTAACACATCAAAAACTTGCTAGTACAGTTGCTTTATGGCGTTTTTACAAAATTGGCCAACAATTTACATATCTACTTTTGAATGCCAGTCGATTGGTAATCTAATTACGAAGTATTGCATTCCGTATTTCCAACATTTTATGGAAAATTTCTGTTTATTTTGGCTTAAAAAACGGAAAATTGATTTTTAACACAATTTTCACCATTTTGCAGCCGTTTTTGTGCTATAACTTTGTAAAAATAAGTCACAATGATCTAGGACCGACTGTTTTATGAAGTTAACGATCTCACCTTTCGATCCATATGACTGTCTGGTCAATTTTGGATAATTCATATTTTCATAAAATTTCGCATTTTTGATAAGGGGTACCATCATCAAAATTTTCAAAAATGGGCCAAAAATGAAGTTTCCCAGATTTAAATGCAAACCAATTGGGAATCTTGGCAATCAAGTTACGAGCCCTACGAGGTATTACATTCCTCATTTGGACCATTTTTGGCTGTGCTGTGGCCAAAAAGCTGATTTTTTTGTGCCCAAATCAAGTATACGTCTTTTGGCAGCAAAAAGCCCCGATTGTCGCCGTTTCTTAGCTGTAACTTTATCAGAACAAACAGCTTGTTTAATACAATGACTTTTTTATGAAGCTGACTACCGAAACTTAAAGCTCCTATACTTACTTTTATCATTTCTATTCTGACATTTTGGTGCGAGCTCTGATTTAATGGCTGAAAAATCACGAAACCGATTTTTATCAGAAATGATTACTTATTTGCGGGTTTTTAGCTCTAGCTCGGCCAAAACAAGGCGCACAGCCAAAAAAAAAACTGTTTTGTGCTGCTAACGACCACCACTTACCACCCCTATCCCCCGTTTTTCGATTTTGGGAAATTAAATTTTGGCCCAAATTTTGCGTTTTTGATAAGGGGTACCATCATCAAAATTTTCAAAAAATGGCCAGAAATGAAGTTTTCCAGATTTGAATGCAAATCAACTGGGAATCATGGCAATCAAGTTACGAGCTCTACGAGGTATTACATTCCTCGTTTGGACCATTTTTGGCTGTGCTGTGGCCAAAAAGCTGATTTTTTTGTGCCCAAATCAAGTATACGTCTTTTGGCAGCAGAGAGCCCCGATTGTCGCCGTTTCTTAGCTGTAACTTTGTGAAAACAAGCCGCACGGCTAAAGCAATGACTATTTTATGCAGCTAACTCTTGAAACTTAACACCCCTATACTTACTTTTTGCGTTATTGTTCTGATTTTTTGGCGCGAGCTCTGTTTTAAGGGCTAAAAAATCGGAAAACTGATTTTTAACAGAAATTTGCAATATTATTTTCGGTTTTTTAGCTCTAGCTCGGTCAAAACAAGACGCACAGCCAAAAGAACGACTGTTTTATGCTGCTAACGAGCAATACTAACCACCCCTATAACTCGTTTTTCGATTTTGAGAAATTCAATTTCGGCCCAAATTTCGCATTTTTGATAAGGGGTACCATCATCAAAATTTTCAAAAAATGGCAAAATTTTACTTTCCCAACTTTGAATGCAGATTTACTTAGGACAGGAAGACAAGCTTTTCGAGGTATTACATTCCGATTTTGGAGCATTATTGGCTGAGTTATGGTAATTTTACTTTCTTGTTGAGGCGTACATTGGGAGAAAACGATTTTCGCATTTTTGATAAGGGGTACCATCATTAAATATTGCTAGAAATGGCAAAGAAAGAAAAATTTAAAAACGATCACAACGAGGTATGGCATTCCATTTTCGGACAACATTTGGCTTTGTTCTGATCGAAATACTGATAAAAAATGAGCACAAATAGGGCTACAAGCTTTTTGGGGGAACTGAAACTGGAGTTGATCTCTTGCCTTGCCCCTCTTTATCTCTCACTTTCTGCTTGGTGGTTTAATCGTCTTTCGATTCGGTTTGATTTGGCTTAGAAACCAGGCCTAATCCTCGCAACCTGGAGCCGTGAATCGCGCTCTGCGATGTGGTGCGAGCTCTGGACTGGCCGCCGAGGAATACCACAAACTGGAGCTGGAAGTGCGACGGGAATCGGAATCGGGACTGAGATTGGAACGAAAAGTTGGCGAGGAACTGGAGGGCAGGGACAAGAACGGGGCAAGCAGATGTAGTCGGCAGTTAGAGCACAGCCACCGTTGCCACCGCCACCGCCAGATGATCGAATGGTGGTGATCCTCCTACTGTCGCCATGCACTTGCAGCCGCAGCAGCAGCAGCAGCCACCACGCCCACGACCACGCCCATGATCCTGCCTACGCACCACCACCACCACCACTACCCAAGCACCATTACCACGCACCGCTACCAGAACAACAACAGCAACCGGCAGCCAAAAATGGAGATTCTCCGAGCAGCAATGAATCTTCATCGGCATCCACGGGCGACACAGCCATTCCGGCTGGATATCTCCATTTGCACCAACAGAAACAGAATCAGCAGAATCAGCAACAGAAGGATCAACAGTATCGAAATCCCCACCAACCTAGTCATAGTCATAGCACAGCACCACTGCCCACAGTTTTCGGTCATGGTAGATGGTTGCCCCTGCCCCTGCAACAACCGGCTAATGTCGTGCCCAAGCCACCGCGATCCCATGGCATCCATTGGCCAACGAATGTTTATCCTGCCCCACATAGCAGCCACCATCAGCCACCGATCATCTTTCGCGTCCAATCGTCACTGCCTAATGGGAGCTTTACTAATGCCACCACCACCACAACCACCACCACTGACTACGTGCGTCACGTGACCCGCGTTAACTTCTACGACATTGATACTTCGCAGGTCGAATTCGAGCCCAAAGATGACGAGGAGAGCAACGAGGCCACGGCAAGCAATTGCGATACAGAAGCTATTACCAAAGAAGGTAAGATCCTTGGCTAGCACTTAGTTACTAAGTAAGTAAGTTGAAAGTTAGTTTTAATCTTATATAGTTTATTAACCTTACCAAACAGTAGCAAAGAGGCAAGGTAAAACCAATCTGATCACTGCGATCTCTAGTGATGAAGTGGGTTCGACAGATCATGTCAAGACAGTGATCAATCGGAACGTTCTCAACCTGATTGCTTGCATAGATCGTGGGTGAGCCAATCAAGTGACATCATCATCATCATTATCATCATCATTGGCATGTCCAAGCCTTCGAATATCAGCCAGCAAATTGCCAGCAGCGTGAGATCACAGTGAGCTAGGCGAGCACACGAGATATTGATGGATAGATACCAGTGGATTGTCACTGAATTACTCACTTGATTTGGTTGTGCAATAGTAGAATTTAGCATATAGCTTGACATTAATAAGAAAAACTTACATATCATATGAAAAGGGATGACCTCCCGAACATTAAGTATACGACCCGTTGGCCAATGTTAAAGATGAGAAACGAAAGCGAAAGCTGTGAATGCGATTCCGATCCATTTTCATATTCATATTCATAGCTTAGCTACTAATCCCAAATTCCTTTCGCTACCTGCCTTCTTTATTATTTTTCCTTTTCAATTATATATCCCACCCGCGGAAATCATAGAAAGTTTTGATTTAATTATGTGATTAACATAACACAAAGGCGCCACAGCCAGCAGCAGCAACTAGTTGCAACTAGCAAAGTTGCAACTGCAACAATAAGTCGATTACTTGCGGCAATCTGAAAAATGTATGCACAACAACCGTAAAAAAAAAAAAAAAAAAACGTGTAAAAATTAGAAATAACAAGCGGCTAACAAGAAAATGCAAATGCATGGAAGACTGCCAGCTGAATTGCTGGAAAAATGATCCAAGGAAAATGTGTTACTGCAGCAGGAGAGGCAGCATAAGATTTCCCACGTTAGCGAATCATTAAAAATCAACTCGCGAGGCAACTTGACAAGCCATATGCAAAAATGTTAGGAAAAGCGGTGGAAAAATTACAATAATTGCTGCATCACCTCGCGACACCAACTTCACCCACCATGCCACATGCCTTGGTTTCTTTTTTTTACTTTTTGCATTTTGCCAAAGGAAGTTGCTCCTTAACTACACACTAAGAAAAGCGGGGGGAAAGTACCACATTTTTCAGGCATATATTTTCCTATTAGATTTTCAAGTTTTTACCATTTTTTCTTAGCCTGCCAAATGACAAGTGTTTCGGGCCATAAAATCAAAATCGCGATCGAGCGATCGAAGGGGGGGACCACGGTTGACAGGCCATAATCGATACCACAATTAGTCCAAGTGCTGATCGGAGCCAGAGATGTAATGCAATATCGGGGTGCTGTGGAAAGACCTGCAGACAGATTGCTGGAAATGCTAGGAAATCGACTGAAATCGGCTGAAATCGAGGCTTGTTAAGTGGGCGTGGCGGGGTAACATAAATTCACATTAGCGTCACAAGAGCCCAAGCTCAATCGATTGAAACGAGGTGGTTGTTGCTTTTTTTTGGATCGAAACAATGGCAAACGAAACCGAGAATGCAATTGCACCCGATACCCAACCTGCTGAAAAGTCTATTCCCCTATCCACCTCCCTCAATTTTCCTGATTTTTCTGACCACATTTTCCTACGATTTTTTCTCTCTTCGTCTTGTGCCGTTTGTTTGCTTAATTGTGATTGTTGTTGCCGATGTTGCAGTTATTGTTGCTATTTATGAAGTGGTTGACTGCCCTGATGGAAGGGAAAAGCAAGGTGGTGGAGGGGGAGAGGGGAAACTGAACCAGCAGCAGTTGCAACAATGCGGATATGTATATATAGTATGCACAAATGATAAAGATAAACAGTCTGGTCAGGCAAATATAGTCGAACACAATAGACAAAGGCCTTGGCACAGTGGTAGCTCTTGAGTAACGAATCTTATTAGGTGTTAAATAAATATTTAAATTTTAAAATAAATATTCAAAAGAGGAATGCTAAAAAGAACTTAGAAATGACGTCTCTTTCAAATTATATTTGTCTTTCCTATCTCCTCTTTTGGCCAAGTTATCATACGGCTAAGAGTGGGGTTATTGACCCCAAAGATTCAGCATTTTAAAGTTAGAAGAAAAGGCAATTTACACCTGCAATTCTACACAATAAAATAATAATATATCGTCTATAAAAATTAGAATAATATCATTCATTTTGCTACCTTTTAATCCGTAAAGAGTTAAGCTCCCTATCTGCCACTGTAGCCAAACTAGACTGTAGTTCGATCGACTGCCCAACGGACTGTAATTGCGGACTCGAATTCGAAGCAAAACCAAAGCGGACTTAGATTCAGATTCAAATTCAGATTCAGACAGACGCCAGACAACGCGACGTCTCGTTTCGGTTTCTGCTGCCGCTGCTGCTGCTGCAGCCACAGTCGCTGCAAATGCAGATAGATTATATAAGAGCCGACCTTTAATGGTCCAGCGATCTCAATGCAGCCGAGTTTCAGATGGGGAAATGCTCGGAGACGGAGACCAGGCGCTGGGGGAGGAAGACACAGCAGGGAAATCATGCCGGCCAGTTGTCGGATGTCCGTGCTCGGAGCCCTCGGCTCTTAACTCCCAATTCTCTGGGCTGTGAGGCTTAGTACAGGTTGCCCAACTAAAGCGTTAGTGTTACCAATTTGGCTAGGATCTATATAAATACTTTTGCATATTTTTTAGGTTTACTTAGTTAGTATATAAGGTTGAAATGGAATATGTTGGTACTTATTATAGTTTTCTTTAATAATCTAGACTTTAGAGACTAGAGTTGTGATAACTTTAGCATTATGTTTGACCATATTTTGTATTTTTAAGTTTATAAACCTCAATAAGAGACACACGAATTAGGAATTTGAAAATCATGAGAAGCAAACGTAGCTTGGTGGGTTTTTATTAACCATCCGCTGTTTCCATTTCCTTCCTTCTTAAATACAGCTTTAAAAAAAAAAAAAACACCGACAGGCTGCACGTTTTTTCTATTTATATATTAAAAAACGTGCCAAGTCGTACGTTTTTTTTAAATTTGTTTTTTTTTCTCCCAAGTTAACTTTAGCTTTTTTTTTCTCTTAAAAAAAAAGACTGCCAGCACTTGGTACAGAGTATAGAGTACAGTTAGACGAGAGACCAACTTGGTCTGGGTTACGTAATTTGGCGAGCAGCTCGAATGCGCTGGAGCGCTTCACACCCCTCCAACTTTCCGACTTCTTTTGTTAGAAGCGGCGGAGTAGATCTCTAAATGGGCATTATCCACATGCAAATGAGGCATCTTGGCCAGTTGCAGTTGGCTCTGTTGCAATTGGTGCCAAAAAAAAAAAAGGGGTAAAAATTAAGGCAACAGCCGCAGAACGAGAGCCATTGGGCAACACGTCTTGTCCTGTCCTGCGGATCAGTTAGCTTCGCAAAAAGCTTGGCTCTGAAGAGCTTTGATTTTGGCCTAAACCCAAGCTTGAAGTGGCCCATGAACAAGCTGCCTTCGCTGACTTCGGTCTTTGGTGTAGCCATCTTTTGGGAGCCAGTCAAAAATACATGCCAAAAGCTTTAGTTTCTTTCGCTTGACTGTAGTTAAGTTTGATAATATTTGAATTAAATAATATAATCTAATAATATTGTTAAATAAATATAGTAACCTGTTATTTATAAGAAGAAATGGTTAATATCTGAAACCCCTTTCAGAGGAGTGGATAACGAAGCGCAAGACAGAACTCACAACTACCAGACAGATCGAAACGAGGGTGAAGCGGCAGGTGAAGCTGCAGGATGGCAAGGTGATCGAGGACTCCGGTCCCATTGTCTCCACCAATACCACCGAGGACACCGACAAACAGGAAACGGAAACCACTGAGGTAAGCTTAATCCCAGGGCAGTCCAAAGAATAGTTTATATCATACACAACTTTTAGAAACGCGACCTTGATCTGCCGGATGACCTTGATGGCAATGCCCAGCTGATCGATGTGGCCGCCCTCCAAGCTGGCGCCGCAAATGAGACGCAGTTGGCCCAAATACAAGAGGTCTTTGGACCGGCAGATGGAGCGGGAAAGTTGGTCAAGCGAATGGTACCACGTCCGGTGGATGGACTAGTGCGACAGACGGACGACAAAAGGGTCATCTCGCATGAAGAGATCAAGGACTATCACGAAACGGAGGATGTCAAGCACCACGGCGATTTCACAGATCAGGTGAGTCCCTAATTAATTAACTACCATTGGTTTATGATCATGGATCATGATAGGATCATGATTATTGGTTCATTAACCCTTTCGAATCACCTTTTTAGTTAAAGTCTTTAGCTTTCCTTTAAATTTACAAACACGACTAAGGCGTAAAAGATTCATCAAGAAAATTAAATTTTCCTGGGGGATCTGTTGGAAAATGACTGCAAAACGTTCGCAAATGATCGATGTTTTTTGGCGGGGGAAAGCTCCAATTGTCTTATTAGAAGAGGCCTGATGAGTTTAACCTCTCGTTGGTCGTGGAACTCGCTCCCTCTCGGACTCCCACTCCCGACCTCCGACCCCCCACTGTGCAGCATTATACATCATCGGCCTAAGCTTCAACATTACTATATATTTTCATCTCCATCACGAGTGGTTCGGTGGCTCATTGTCTGCTCCACTCTCCGCTCACCACAAGAAGAAGATCACCCAAGACCGGTTGGGTTAAACGAAAACAGGAGCGGTTCAGGCCAAGAAATGGTAGCAAAATCAACCTGATCATGTTTATTCTACAGTGAGAGAAATTTTAGATATCTTTACATTAGGTAATCTTTAAAAAGCTATCTGAATGGGGGAATATGACGAATCTTTTGTGGTTTCCAAATTAAAAAGTGTTACTTCTATTTCCCAAACCTCTTTTGAGATTAGGATATATCTTAGCAAATATTTCAATTAGTTTATCAATATTTCTTAAAGTGTTTTTCTGTGTAATCGGAGACAGGACTGTGGACAGGCATAAACCGAAAATTGGCGTAAATAACTGAAAATCAATTCGGCGTGAAAAGCAACAATGTAGCAGCACTGGATAGTTGGCTTTTTTTTTATTGCCATACAGTAGATAACCAATGTGGCGAACAACATTACTTATTCCAAAAGTTATAAAGAAGTTTAAAAAAACCCCTAACTCTTACTGGAACATAGGTCCTTTGATATTCAGAATTATCACATTTATCGTTATCGAGATAAGGAAATTTACTTATCTAAATAACAGACTGTTAGTACTTGGGAGTGTTAACTGTATTTTTCTCTTTTTCTTTTACCTGTGGTTGCTGTTGCTGCTGTTGTTGTTGTTATTGTTGCTGCTTTCAAGCTCATTCGAAAGTTATTGGTGTTGTTTTTGGAGCTGCATCCCGCTGTCGTCGCTGCCGCAGTCGTGCTGCCTCTGCCTCTGCTGGCGCCGCTGCCAGCACTGTGCCTCTGCCGATTACTTGGCGTTTGAAGCTGTCGGACGATCAGTTGCCGTTGAGCGAGCGAAGAGAGTACAACTTTTCGCGTTTATCCACTCGTCGCGTTTCGCTTTGATGTACTGTTATTTTTCTTGTTTATTTTTTACTTCTTTGTATAGTTATCTGTTATTTGTCCCCGCTTAAAAGACAATCGGTGGAAAAAGCACATTAATCGGCAATCAGTTATCGGTATCGTCACTCTTTTTCTCTTCGGCTGTGCATTGTTGTTGGTTATTTGTTTACAAATAAAACAAGAAACAAACTACACTCTCTCCCTCCTAATATTAGTGAGTGTTTTTATGTGTTTGTTTGTGTGTCTGTGTGTGACTTGGTTTTTGTTTTAATTTAGCTGTTAATGCGTGGGCCTCTTGGCCAAGTTAGTAGATGGTGCAACTGAGATTAGAGCATCGATAATTTTGTGAAGAAGCAGTTGGCGGAAGAGCAGATCAAGGAGGAGGAGAAGGAGAAGGAGAAAGAGGTGGAGCAACACAACCCCAATTTGCATAATTATCAAGGTGCGATATGTTCCAATACCTAATGGTATAATTAAGGCAATAAGCATCCCGAAATTTCCTCCCCTAAAACACAAATTCGAGACCCGAAAGACCAACTTAAACCGGTAGTGGGCAATTAGCCAAGCCAAAAAGGTAATGCCATTGAAGATCTCTTGTTGTGGTCGTTATACGGACACTTACAAGGCATCAGAGATGGTCATCTTACCATGTCCAGAACTAAAATTTAAAAACTAAAATTATTATCTCTTTTTATACACTGTTTAGTTATAATTTCGACCAAAAATCAGGGCTTTTATAATACTTTAGTGGTCAAAATTTGTTTCGATTATCTTTTCGTTATATAATGTTGTATGGGTATTTATGGATTCATTTATAGAATCTTCCAAACTATTAAATATAGTTAGTTTATCATAGATCCTTAAGATACAAGTTTTCCAAGACCACTGTGGCACTGTAATTCTCAACTGGTTCTAGCTTTGCTATCTAAAAACGTAACCTATTAAAGGTTATTGAAGATTCTGAGATAGAACTCATTTAGTTAGTCCTATTGTTTAATTAAACTAACTAAATCAGCCCTTTAATGGTATGAATTATGGTCAACACTGCAAGGCATACACACACTGGGATGAGCGAGAGAGACAGGCGGTGGCTGGCAGAAAGAGAGAGGGCGATGGGAGTGCACACTCTCCCGAAGGCGAAACCTCGGAAACCTCTGACAAAATAAAAAACCCAGAGCAGCTGGCTTTGGGCCCGGGGCAGACCTGTTCTGAGCCAGGTTTAATCAATAGCCAAAGTGCGCGGAGCGGCTACTGCTGCTGTTGCTGCTGCTCCTGCTTGGCTTTCTTGGATTCTAGGCGTGTCTGCGGCAGGTCCATGAACCTAAGATACAGATATATGTACACAAACTCCATCCAACGAATGAACGAACCAACCAACCAACCAACCAGCCAGCCAGCAAACCAACTAACCAGCCAAACACCAAACTGCGGAATCGGTGCGAGATATACACAAGTACCATAGCACATTAAATTCGTCCATGCCACATTCAAAGAAGTTTTGTGGAAAGCGACCACAAAAAGTGTTTGGAATTTGAATTTAAATTTTGTATCTCTCGGTACGTGTACTTCTTTGTCTCAGCCCCAGTCTCCATCTCCAGGTGTATCTATGTGACCACGTAGCGCTCTGTGTGAGTGGGTACTTTGCTGGCCGAAAACTCGTTTCGAGTCAGTCTAGGTGCCCCCACATGCTAAACCAATCCAATCCAGCCCAAACAACTCTAATCAGCAAATGCCAATCAGCAGCAGCAACAGCAACAGCAGCCGCAGCCTAAGCACTAGCCGGCCAGAGGTTCAAGGGGGTATATAAGTTGGTCTAAAAGGGGGCTTAGACTTAACAATTCACGCAACGGAAACGATAAACCGAGTCCGAGGCCCACAGACCCCAAACCTAGACCAAGTATCTTTCCTTACTTTGCTTTGGCCACTGCACAGCTCCAGCTTCGAATTTGACTTTAACTCCAGCCTTTCAGCTCTCCAAAAACCCAAAAAACCCAAGCATCAATTCGCCGTTTACACTGGGGAAAATAATGAGGATTACTGAGAAAGTCAGTGCATTGAACAGATTAAACATTTTACCAATGCTAACTGATGAGATCAGATCAATATTATGATCAATATCATGTTGTATTAGCTTAAAAGTGAGATATTCTTAAAGGATCTACCATATCTTATGTTCATGTCAAAGATTTTTATACCATTTGATAGTTTTCATCTATCAGAAATGAAATTTTATCCAATAAGTATTTCATTTTTGATACTGTTACTAGAGATAAAACTGAAAGCGACCCACACAAATGACCTTTGATTTGCTATCTTTTGAATCTGCTATGAAGAGGGAATTGCCTGGCATTTTTGTTTGCCGTGTAGACATCATTATCATATCCAGGCGCGTTGGCGTTGGCCGCACACTAACTGAATTACAATAATAATAATCGATCGAGAGCTCTGCTCCATTCCGCTCCGCTTCGCTCAGCTCCGTTCGGTTAGGTTTTGCCTCAGTTCGGAGAGGTTGAGCAACTCCCAAGGCAAACTGGTCTTGCTTGGTCTTGGTCGCTGGGTCCAAGCGATTCACTCCACAGTTTACACAGGGAAAAAGGCAACAAAGATCCATTATTGTTAGAAAAATATATATATTTATGGCGAAATGTAGAACCCTAAGAACCCTTCCTTGTAAGACATCTCATAACTTAAGACTCTTTTCTTTTTGAGACAATGTAATGAATACCAATTTATCTCTGTGTACTGATACCAAGACCGATCCACTGCCATTCCGCCCCCTTTTGGCTGCCTTTTTAAAAATTTGCTCATTTCTCTTTTTTTCCCATTGCGATTTTGCTTTGTTTTTCATTTATTTTCTGCTGGCCACTTGGCATGCCAGGCCAGGCCGGGCCAGTTAACATGGCCAGCAAAATGTCCATTTGAATATGCTGGCCACAACGACATGAGTCTGCATACGAAGTATGAGGCTTAAGAGTAACAGTTGGAGTACAAATAATACTTAACCACCAGGCCAGGCCCTCCTGCAACTGGGAAACCCTCTTTTTTTTTTTGTTTGGTTTGTTTTCCCAGTCGCGTTTCGTTGGAATTCAAAATCAGTTTTTGGGATTCGGCCAGGTGAAGGCAATAAAGCGAATCAAGATAAATCACAACACAGGGGGAAAAGTTGTCAACGCATATGGGTTTAGCCACAGGATTTTAGTGCACTAGAAAAGCTGTACTTATTCAGGATTAAGTATTAATTACTTTCCTAAAGGCTAGCTGGGAACTAAGTTTGACAAAGTGTACTTACTTTCTCTAAAAGTAATATATGACTTGCTAGATAAAATCAAAAAATAATTACAATGGCAAGGTAATTATAGAAAATCAAATTAAAGACAAGATCACTTGTCGAGTCAACATGCTTGGTGTTCCAAAACAAAAAAAAATATAATGCTCCCCAAGGTGATTACGGTATTTTTGGTCAATGACAAATAACTTGACAATGCCAAAATCGAAATAAAAATGAAAGAAAGAGGGGGGATATTTGGGGGGATAAAGGTGAAGGGGCTTATCAAGTTAAAGGTAAAGGCAAAAGCGGTGAAGAAGTGTTTTGTCCCCGCCTTGAAAAGGCCAAAACTCTGCGTCACCAGCAACGTCATCGATTGTTATTAATCACCGATCGAAGAAGTCGCTTTTGACCAATCCAACACTTGAATAACCCCAAAAACTTATTTGCATATCTGCCTGGAGATTTCGTGTCCAATGGGTTTTAGTTTTTAAAAGATAAAAACAAATATGAGATTAGTTGTTTTCTTTTTTCTTGGGTTGGGATGGGTAAACAAATATGGCTTGGAGGCTGACTGGCCATCAAGTTTCAGACTGAAAGCGAGAGAGATGGCTAAAAGCTGACTGGCTGAGCAACAACAAAACACTTTCTACGCGCGTTACCGTTAACGCAAGGTCGTCGACAAATAACACAAAACAAAAAACAAAAAGGAGGAGGGTATGATGGCAGATGGTGGAGGGCGGGAATTAAGCTTCGAATGACGAAGAGGTATATGTCTTCAGCTCTTTATCCGCTGACCAGCGTCACCCAGGCGTGCCATCTGCTCGTCATCCAAGAAATCCAAGATGCGATACCCATTGCGATTCGACCTTGAGCTGTCCATGCCACAGCGATCCCTTCTGCAAGCCCATGTTACACAGGGCAAAAAAAGGCATAGCTAGAAGGATAAACTTCTATTAGGTGAGATCAGTGATCAGTATTTTTATATATTAGCATATCTAACTGCATGATTTTTCATAACATCTGTTATATAAAAACTTCAGTTCTTGCTACTTCCCTAATACATACCTATTTCTCTCTGTGTATCCCCGCATACCCCACCTCACTTTTCCCCTCATTCTGGAATCGCATTCTTGACTTTTACCGTTACCTCAATGACGTTGCCCCATCCGCGTTGGCAGCTCGAAAAAGTAAGTGGATTGTGGATTTGTTTTGTGGTTTCTCGCTGTCTTGCTCTGAATACTAAACTGAGGAAGGGGTTAAGGAATGGGTGCTGCATAGGTTTTGTGTGGGGGGGGACTAGGGGGGCTGGAAGCCAGCATGTGCAGTGACTGCATCGCTACCAAAATGATGCAACCCTTTATGAAGAGTGGGGAATGCAATGGCTTACCAATTGGGAATCCGCTAAATGAATCAGGGATAATATGGTCGAAACTAATACTATGTAATGGTTATATAATTGAATTCTGGACTTACCCAAAATCAAACTTGATGTTCGGCAACTTTTTGCAGACCTACGTGAAAGCAGTTCGCGACGGAGTCGAAGACCTAGAGGCTGTGCTCTGTTCCCCAGAAAGCCAGCGGCAGTTGGTGCCATTGGGACCACAGGTGGTGGCCAATCGTAGCAAGTCCCGCAAAACCATCGACTCGGAGGATACACAGAAGCGTTGTTTGGCCCAAGAGGACGGTACCCTGGTCACCGAGAGCAAACGGACCACCGAACACGAACTGATCATCGACGACGAACTGCCCGATCCGCCAACTGCCGGAGCTACCGATGACCGTGGTGGCCTGCAGCTTCAGGTGGGCGAGCAGGTGACCACAACGGCGGCCAACCAGCGATTCTTCCGCCAACGGGACGAACAGCATGTGGACGTGCTAGCCAACGGCCGGCTTCATTCCACCGAGATGCGCTACGCTGCCGAGACCACGCAGATGGACAAGGACGGTCCTGCCGAACTGGAGCGTCCGGGCGACTGGGATAGCCTCTCCGACCGGATGCGTAAGCTTCGCCGCTCCCAGCAGCAGCAACAGAAGGGTGAGTTTATCTTCAATTAAAATGCCGTAGATTTCTCTGAAACTTTAAGATACTTTAGCCATTTTTATCAGTTAACAGATATTGATAAACCTGTGTTTTTGTTTTTTTTCTTTAAATAATTATATCACATAAAATTTGACGTGTTTAAAGGTGTTTTAATCGATGACATCAGATTGGTTGAATCAGCGTTAAACTCGTTTTAATTTCAATAAAATATTGCATAACTTGAAAAAATCCAATAAATTTCTGATAACAATCGAAAAATTAGAGAACTTAACACTCGAAAAGCTGTAAGCTTTGGGTTTTTGATGAATCTCAACAATGTTTTGTTTAAAAAACCATCGAAATATTATCAACAATTATTATTTTTTAACTTTTCTTTAATTGACTCAGAAGTGGCCCTGCTGGCGGATCGCAAGGATGCACTCACCAAGCGACCCCTGGACTTCGATCGCGAAGAGGAGACACGCAAGGGCGAGACGATGAAGTGGCTGGAGTCGCACTTCGGCAGCGAGTCCACGGCATCCAATGATTCCCGCGACGACGAGGCCGATGCGGAGGTGGAGCCCACCAAGAAAAGTTACTTTAATGTGACGATCAAGTCGCAGAGCCAGCCGCAGGCGCACATTCATGCCCAATCTCACCTGGCCACCCAGCAACATCCACATCCGCAGCACATCTCGCATGCCCATCATCCACAAACTCTGCCCAGGAGTGCAGAAAGGGAAAGGGAGCGTGAAAGGGAGAGGGAACGAGAACGGGAGCGGGAACGCGAACGGGAAAGGGATCGTCATCCCTTGGCGATGAACACATCGGCCACGTTGGAACGGAAGCCGCCAACCAATTCGGCAGGAGGTCGTTCCAAATACTTCCAGGGCATCTCAAACTGGTCGGAACGCAAAGATCCCGGTCCACCGGTCAATCACTTCTCCTCGCAAGCCTTTCGCGACGATCTACAGGAGACCATCCGTCGGAATGGCCTCAAGAAGAAGGTCAGCGGTCCCGGCTCCAGTCAGGGATCCGCTCTTGGCCCAGAGACAACGGGCCAGCCCAAGGATAGCTATGTCAGTCGTGAGGATATACTGCAGCAGAAGCGCCAGAGCTTGTCCTCGCAGTTTCTGGCCCGTTCGATGCGTGGCTCTCGCGATGCTTTAGATGATCTCGAGGCCATACCGGGACCAGGACCAGGTCCATCTATGATATCACCCCGCGCCGAGGAGCCGTCGCACAAAAGAGTGGCCTACGGTCATCGTGGCAGCAGCAACACTGCCAGCAACCTCAATGGTCATGCGGTGAATGGTGTGGCCCCCGTTATGGTAAATGGCCGTGGTAAAAGCTATGAACCAGTTGCTCCACCGCCAGCTGCAGTTCCTCCAATGGAGTTCGGCGGGAATAGCGGCAGTGGCAGCCAGCTGGGCCTTAATTCGCGACCCACTGTCCCGCAGCGACGACGTGCCATCGAAAAGAAGCTAGGCGAGCACAGCCACAGCCATTCAACCCACACATCGCATACCGCCCATCATCCAGTCAAGTCGCAGGCTCCGCTGCCATCGCAGGTTAGCCAACTGGAGCCACCTCCGGACTACTCACCGCCGCCTAGAAGTCGCAGTCGGTCATCTTCGCCGCAGGTTGATTATCTGATGACCAGGTGGGTTGTTTTTCTGTGTTTAATCTTTAAAAAATTATTAAGTTTTAAGTTCTAGTTTCCGTTTTATATCAAAGTGTTAACTATTTTTAAAAAATAAGTTTAATATTTTACAAAAAGCGATCACTGGAAAGATATTTTATTCCAACGCCTCACAGTTCAATTTGTATTTGTAATCATTATTTATAAAACCTTTCTGGTATTCTTTTTTCTTGTGGTCTTTTGTAGTTCGTTTCATATTCATATTTTCATTGTAGTTTATCGTTTCACGTGTAATGTAGAGAATATCATATATCATATAATCTTTTTACCTCTTACATCATCATTTTGGTGCCACAATTAGTCAGGAAAGGTGGCCAACCCTTGGTAACTGTGAGTCGCTCGACCGCCGGCGGCTTTGCATGGCCGAGCCCTATTTATAAGCACAACTCGCGGAATTCACACTTGAGAATTGTAAAGAACAGAAAGCGAGAAAAGAGCTTTCTCAGCATATGAAGTCAGCAGAGAGTGCAGCGTCTGCACTCTTTCATCTTTGCTTATTATTGTTAGATTTTTTGTTTCTTTTTGTTTATCCTATTATTATTTCGCTAATAAACTTAAGTATTTGTTAATTTCAAAATAACCAAAGCTGTCAGAACCGTTACCTAACAACTTTTATCCCCCTTAGGGAGATGCCTGCCAGCACGATGACCCTCAGCCGTAAGCAACAGCAACGGACTCGATTCGCTCCCACATCCAGTTATCCACCGGCAACTGGTGGAGCTGGTAACCTTCGACCACCTGGAGCCACTTCAGCCTCCACATCGAATCTCTCGGCCATGAGCGGAGGCGTCAGTACCTCCAAGTCAAGTCGCATGGGTCAGGTCATTGGCAATTCACTGCGTAAACTGGTCAGCAAAATCCGTTCGGCCAGTGCTGAGCGCAAATTCCGCATGAAATCGGCGGCCAGCAAATCGCGTGAGCAATCGCCCAGTCCAGGGCATGATCCCCGGGGAGTTGGTCCCCCTGTGACCACCTATCAGCAGTACAATGTAATCGATGGGCATATTGGTAGCCATGATTCCGAGGATTCCAATAGCGATAATCAGCGGCGGAGGGAAAGGGAAAGGGAGAGGGAAAGGGAGCGCGAAAGGGAAAGAGAACGCGATCGAGATCGGGAACGTGATCCTCTCAAGCAGGAGACCCAATCGAGGCAGAACTTCAAGCGGGCCGAGTCTGCAGATCCCCAGCTGCAGCACTTGGAACAGGCCATAAGTCCCAGGCAGCGATACTATCTGGGCGAAGATCCCTACTCCAGCACTCTGTACGGGAAGGAGAATATGTATGAAAGGCGACCACGTCAGAGGTAAGGAGAACTAACCCCTTTAAATGCTCAGTGCAATACAAAATTTTAAATTTCTTTCAGGAACATGGAGCGTCCGGATGAGCGAATGGAACGATTAGAGCGCTTGGAGCGAGAGGATGACTACTATGAGTCCAGGGCTCCGCCGCCAGTGACGGCTGCCCATACATTGGGGCGTTACCAGAAGCATGGCCAGCGTTTCAGTGGCTCTACTCCCAATCTGCACCAGCAGCAGCAGGATTACCGTTCAGCCCAGACTTTGCCGAGAAAATTGCACGAGCAGCGGACCCAGAGATTTGGTACCGCCATGGAGAAGCAAACGCCACCGGGCAGAGGCAACTATATACCAGCCTCAGGGCAGCAACAACAGCAAAGGGGTATTCCCCAGAACCAGAATCAAAATCCTAATCCAAGTCCAAACCCAAATCCTAGCCAGATGCAGACGCAGCAAGGACCGGCGAAACCTGCTCGCACCTACGCCAAGGTTCTGAATCGCAGCAAGAGCTTCAATGTGCACGGCATGAATGGCAGCAACGATCCTAGTCCCATCTACATCGAGAAACTCACCCGGAACAACTATCAGCCCCGACAGGAGCCGAGTTTTGGCTATGGTCTGGGACAGGGACCCAACGCCAACTATAAGTCCAATCCGCATCTCTTCTCCGGCAAGGACAACTCGCTGAAAAGCGGCCTCAAGAGTCCATCGATTGTGAATCTCATTAGTCGCAGCCAAAAGGATTTGACCAAGATCGCTGGCAACGATGAGGACGAGGGCAACTATCCGGAGCAGGACAAGAAGCAATTGTATCTGCGGGGTTTGCATCAACAGGCACCGGATCTATACCGGGTTATCCATGGTGACGAGGAGTACGGATCCAGAAAGTATCCACTACAAGCCAAGTATTCACTGGACTCACGTTCACCGCCATCCGTGGAGCTCAACAAGGACACGGCCAGCATTGTTCGGCGCAGCAGCGAGGTGGACCATCAGCAGAGCCATCACCATCATCAACAGCATCAGCATCAGCAGCATCATCAGCACCACATCCAGAGCCATCAGCAGCAGAGCCTGAGACGTGGTTCGGGGGCCACCATCATTGAGCTGCGGCATCGCAAGTGATTCGCCCATCCTTTCGAGACCCTATGATCCCTGTAGTCCTATATTCTAAAACCATAGTCGAACTTTCTGAGGTACATACTCGGATATGAATCCCAAATGTTTATATTTTCAAAAATCGAGAAGAATTTGTGCTTTTAACACTGTGCTTTGTATTTTTGATATTGTGATTTAAATAAGCTCAAAATGTTTTCTTATGTATGACAGTGTAGAAGCACTTAAATTAGAAAAACTTCCCTTAACTCAAACTATTAAAAATAAAAGATTTTCTCTAAGAACAAGACTAAATCCACACTTTAGAAGATCATGAGAACTTCTATAATGAAAATATTGTAAATTTCTATTCCAACTTCTATAAAAAACTTTAAATCTGAGAAAGTTCGACTATGATCCCTGCCAGGTCACCTAATCCCTAACTGTTTGCTAACAAATGCTCGGCCGTGGGCTTTAGTTTCATTTGACAAGCAGCAAATAAAAGTAAAAGGCCAATCAACCAATTGAATATTAAATGGGCAATAGAAAGCTACAAAGTTGATGGTTAAATCGAGAAACGAAATGCAAAATTAATGTTAAATGATTAAAGGAAATCAAAATAAAACGAAAGATAAGAAAACAAAATCTATATGTAACGTGGAAGCCATTCCCACTGTCCTGCCACGCCTCTTCCAATCGTAATTTGATAATACTATAATGCCTACGTCTAATTTACATTACCTATTTTATCATTTTTGTTTTTTTTTTTAATACTAATATTAACGTTTGTTGTATAGATACCGTTAAATGAATAAACTAACTAAAATAACTAATATTAATTCGATATTATTGTAAAATTTTGATTAATAAACAAATTGCAATTAAAATTAAAATAAAGTGCCAAAATAAACAAAGTCTTTGGTTCAATATTGATTGGCTCTCATTTCCTTCGCTGGTTTCCATTTCAGGCTGAACTAAAAGTTCAAGAAACTTGAGTTTTCAAAAATAATATTGACTTTTCACAGGCCATTAAAGATATATGCACGGCACACAAAGTGTGAGGATCATGACCATTTTTATAATTCCTTAATTTAATAGTCAATAAACTACTTTTCATTGCTATAAATTATACAGTAGAAATTATAATTATATATAAAGTAAAGTTTCTACAATTGGGCTTTTTTTATATTTTAGTAATTGAATAAACTTGTGAAGGGCTAACCTATAGCACTAAACATTGTTTTAATAAATAGTCGCAATGTTTAAGTACACAATAATTTCCGTCTTCCTATAACTAATGAGTACAAAGTATAACACAAAATAATTATCGTAAATGGGTCTGGGTTTTTTTTGTTTCAATTTTCGGACAACTTACACGCCTGTGTACCGGGTAAACCTCAGTCGAGAAGTCCAACGCCTTGGCATTCGGTGCTAACTGCAAAACAAGCTCAGGTTTAGTACAGATATGACCATAAAACTATTGCTCGGATCTTGAAGTGCCGTCACGGATCATTTGGGCCCTAATAAGTAGGGGTTTATGTGGGTCGTCTAGACTTTGCTTCATCCCAGGCACAGAACTAGTTGTGCATCGTCCGTCGTGGAGTACTGATGTACGATCTGCCCACTGATCCCCATCATGCTCATCGTTTTGTTCCTCATCCAAATAATCGCCGTGCTCGGCGGTAATGGGCAAAAATGTGAATCGAAATCCCTGCTCATGGATATAATAGAGATGGTACCCCAACATCAAAACTCCACACTGTCCATGTGTGAGGAGCAGCTGGTGGTATTGGGAAAAGCCTGGCAGGATAAGCAGTCCTGGGCACTGAAGGGTGAGATATTTGCATATCCCTGAATCATAATCTGAACGATCTGATCGAATATTTTATATCGTCCATCAGCTTTGGATGCCTCCGGCGCGGGTTTCTCCAACTTTATGTTTGGCCAGAGCACCTGGCTGGGCAATCGTTTCACCTGCCGTGCCGTTCATGAGTCAATCCTCCAGGACGCGACCGTCAATAATGCCCATATATTGCAAGATGTGTCGCCCATTGAGTACCACTACATGGTGGCCTACATTGAGTCTAATTCGCAGTGGCAACTACAGTTCACCTTCAAGGAGAGTCCCCTAATCCACATTGGACTCTGTTTGCCCAGGAATTGTGAAGTCGCAGAGGTGGAACAACTTATCCAAAGATCCTTGGTGGCTGGGCAGTCGTTTAGGTGCTGGGATATGGATGCCAAACTGGTCTATGCCAAAATACCGGAGCTAAAGCCCCATTTCTTCGAAAGTGGAGCATTGCATCTGCTTCTAGTCGTGGCATGTGGAACACTCTTGATGACAATCGTGTCCTGGAGTGGCGTGCTCGAGCACTGCCGCATAGTGGCTTGCTTTAATTTGCCCAGCAACTGGGAGCAGGCATGGAAACCTGTGAATCCCAGCCAGGAGAATAGGTCCATCAACGGACTAAGGGTGGTAACAGCCTTCTCTTTGGTTGGCGTCCATGTGATCTGGTACAAGTACTTCTCGGTGGATCCCTCGGGCGAGCTGCTCGACAAGTTGGTGTCGATGACCATGCGGAATACGTATTGGCCTAGCATGGTGGAGATCTTCTTTTTGGTCAGGTAAGAATGAGTTAGTAATAACTTATATTATTAATTAATATCTCTCCCCGATCGCAGTGGCTACTTGACGGTCTTGAACTTCCTGAAGGACGAAAAATTACAACAGGAGATAGCCAACGATGGATTCTGGGGTAACGGTCGTCGTTACCTTAAGCAGCTTATCCGTCGCTATTGCCGGCTAGGTCCGCTGCAATTCGTCATCATACTGGGTGGTGTGGTGATGATAGAGTACCAGCGCCAGGTGTCCGCCCTGCACATCACTGATCCGCAGGACGAGCTGTGCCGGCGCAATTTCATACGAAATTTTTTGTTCATTCAAAATCTTTTTCCGATTAAGGAAATGTGCGGATCGTGGACGTGGTCACTGGGCTGCGACATGCAGCTCCATATGCTGGCCATGACCTTGCTTTTCGTTCACACGAAACACCCAAAGCTGGTCAGATGGTTAACCTATCTGCTGTTGATCGTCAGCGCCCTAATGTCGGTTATCTTGATGGAGATCAACGATGTGGGTTCTAATTTCGAGGAGATATATCACACCAACAAGTGGTCCTATATGAGTCCGTTCCTCCGGATGATGGCCTATATAATTGGTGGTTGTTATGCCTATACCTTATCCAAGGGATTACCAACACCCGTTGAATTGATCTTGCCAAATCTCTGGTCAAAATTCGGAGCCGCTGTCTTGATTGTATGGCTGTCAAAACAGGTTACTATGGAACAGTTGCCGGCGAGCAGTGTCATAACTATCTTCATGGTTCTTCTGCGCGTGATAATAGCCGCACTGGCCAGTCACCTCATCATATGCGGAACTAAGGCAGAAACCACTGATTCCTATACGCCCACCCGCTGGCTATTGGCTATTCTGCACTCGGAGCAAGTGCAGCGGATAAGCCGGTTTACCTACTCCATCTACCTGTTGAATCCCATTATCATCATGGGCCTCTATCACTCCTTCAGCGCAGAAGTAAACGCAGACACCACGATGATAGTAAGTTTTAGAGAGATATATGTCCAAGGATAGTCCTCATATAATCCACCATTCTTCCTTCTAGATCCTTATGACAATATCCTTCTCGATGCTCTGTTACGTAGTGGGAATTGTAGCCACTGTCTTCTTCGAGATTCCCTACAATCGGCTGACCACTCTGCTGATCAACTCTAGATCCGCAAAAAAGAAGAAGAACCTTTAGATGGCCAGGATTAAGATGATGAGCCTTTTAAGCAGGATGTTTTTGACTATTTTTTACGTTTAGTTGGTTAAACCAGAAGTTGGCTAATTTCAGTGGAGAAACCATCAATTGGTGTACTTTAAAGGAATATTTCGTTTATTTATCGAATACATTGAAATGCATACACGAGTTGGTTTCCTCAAATTTTTTGTTTGTTTTTTTGTATTTTTTTTATCTTTATATTACTTTGTATTTGTTTAAATAAATAAGATACATACGTTTAATCATAATAGCAGTATTTATCGTGCAAATTTGATAAGCATAATAATTGTTTACGTTTTGCTCGTTTTTCTCTTGCAAGTTTTTGTCGGTTTTTGTTTTTTTTTTTTTATCATTACGAAATAAGTTTAAATATATGAAAAAAAAATATATATTTGCCTCTTCTTAATTTTTGCTGTATAATTTTTGTCGTTTTGTATTATCATTTCTCATAATCTTTTATGTTTTTATTTGTTTTTTGTTTTTTGTTTTTTGTTTTTGTTTTAATTAGCTGCTCTTGCTTACGGATGCGTTACGGGTGTTAGTTTACTTTTTCTTTAAAGTAAAAAACGATCTGCGCTTTGGTTCGTCCTTTTGTGAGGTGGCGGGCAGAGTCTGGGATCTGCTGGCGGCCACCGCTGTCGAATCGCTCTGGGCTTTCAGGGAGGTCACCCATTGGGACATCTCGGTGTCGTCATGGGCCTGCAGCAAGAACAAGGCGCCGTTGGCGAGCCTACAAATTGCAACAAAATTATGTATAAGTTATTCTGTTATTAATTTATAAACAATTTATGATACTTACTTGACTCGCAGAACGTGCTTCTTCTTTGTGTAATCACTGGCAATTTCAATGGCAGCGTTTTGCAGATCATAGCTGGGCTCGCCGCGGAAGGTCAATTCGGGATTACTCTTGTAACCCTTCTGATCTTTGTAGAACGAAATGCGTCCGGCCCTGGCAGCCATGTATACCTAAGAAAAGGAAGTCATAAATTTTAATTTATAGAAGTTTTATGCTTATTACAAGCTTACCTTATCCCAAGATCGGTTGGAGGCCTTCTTGGTAGTCGAATCCCATTCGTGCTTTCGTGTCACATAGCCCTCGTGACCCTCGCCAGCGGCTGGTGTTGCGCCTCGTTCTATGGATCATACACAAAAACAAATCGATTAGTTTCAAGTTCACTGGCCAAATGAGCAAACTATTAAAAAATAATAACGAAAAACATAATGAAATACACCCATGGGACTACTATACTACTAATTATGCTATATGCCATGGATCTGCGTCTAGCTAATGTTGCTTTTTATACCTGTTTGGATCTCGACAACGCGCTCGAACTCGACGGCCGTGTCTTTGGCGGCTTCACGGAGTTAAGTTGATTGGTTAGTTGGTTAATCCGTGGGCAAGGTGAGTTTTTTATTTGAGTTTTTGTTTAGTAAGCATGATTGAATGAACAGAGAACGTTTAGAGATAATTTGGTTAGACGAGATCTGGAGCGGGATCTTGAGTGATATCTTGACAAGGGGACGTCGACAGTGCGGCTGGGATAGATGTGGATATGGTTGTGGATTTGGATGCGGATATGGATATGGAGGAGGGCTGGACTATGATATAGGATTGTTGAAAATCTAACAATTAATATACGAGGTGTGTTCAAAAAGTAAGGTGACTTTTCAAATTTCGCGGGCAACATATTTTCGATTATCGTTTTTTTTGTTTTGTTATATTGGTACACTCTTCCCTAACATCTGTACCAAGTTTCAATGGAACATCCTCTTTTGTTTGGTTGTGAGAGGCGTAAAGTTACAAGTTGTTTTGCGAGCTCGGCGATTTTTTGCTATCGAAAAATATGGATCAAAGGATTTGCATCAAATTTTGTGTAAAAAAGAAAATTAAGTGCTCTGAAACACTTGAAATGTTGACAGTGGCATACGGTGAAACTGTTCTGAGTAAAAAAAATGTGTACAAGTGGTACAAACTCTTCCAAGATGGCCGGGAAGATGCCAATGACCAGCCTCGCTCTGGACGCCCAAGCACGTCAACAACTGATGAAAACGTTCAAGCAGTGACGAAAATTGTTTTGGAAAATCGTCGAATCACTATCAGAGAAGTTGCTGAAGATGTCGGTATATCGCTTGGCTCGTGCCATGAAATTTTTTCAAACGTTTTGGGTATGAGTCGTGTGTCAGCGAAGTTTGTTCCGAAATTGCTGAATTTTGACCAAAAAGAACCGTCGCATGAGCATCGCTCAAGAGCTGTTGAATGACGTCAACGACGACCCAGATTTACTCAAAAGGGTCATAACTGGTGACGAATCATGGGTATATGGTTATGATATCGAAACCAAAGCCCAATCGTCCCAATGGAAGAGCCCAGACGAGCCAAGACCGAAAAAAGCAAAAAATCGCCGAGCTCGCAAAATAACTTGTAACTTTACGCCTCTCACAACCAAACAAAAGAGGATGTTCCATTGAAACTTGGTACAGATGTTAGGGAAGAGTGTACCAATATAACAAAACAAAAAAAACGATAATCGGAAATATGTTGCCCGCGAAATTTGAAAAGTCACCTTACTTTTTGAACACACCTCGTATATATTGTTATAGAATAGGTTACGTTTTTAACGTTTATTTCTGTATTTTCAACAATCCTATGGTATCCTACGTTATTGATTATATTTCATACCTGAATCATCGTGCGAGGCTCCAACGTCTACATCGTCGCGTCGCTCAGCGTCCCGTTTGGCCTGTTCCGCCGCCTCTGAGGCGGCCTTGGCCTCCTGCTCCTCCTTGATGCGTTGTCGCTCAGCCTCCTCCGCCAGCTCCTGGCGCCTCTTCATTTCCTTAAGCTCAAACTAGGGATAAAAATGATATTTTAGTATTTAGATTATATAATAAATCTGAAGTTAACACTCACTGTTGTCAAACGCTCAAGAGCACTGAAGCGCTCCTCTTGGGCGGCAGCAGATTTTTCAAAGGCCTCGTGCTTCTTAATCAGGTTCTCCACCTCGTCGATTGTGTGTCCCAGCTCGGAGGATAGCAGGTAAGGCTCCTGGGCAATAAGCCAGGCTTCGGCCACGGCAGCGTCTCTGGCGAACTGGTAAACCTCCAGGACTACGCAAAATAATAGTAAATATGAAATCGAAGAAATTTTCAAACTATTAAGTTTTCTTACTCAGTTGGAGATTCTCCCAGCGTTCCTCCCAGCGACGGAGCAGGGCATTGCGGTTGTTGCTTAGCGACATCAGGCGATCCTTGATCTCAGCGGAGGCATAGTGATTGCGGGTAAGCAGCTCCTTGCCCAGTGAGATGCACGCACCGAAGTTGTCCTCCCGCGTGTCAATCTCGGCCTTAAGGCTCTGGTGGTTGTTCATCAGCAGCTCCACACCGGACACGTCGCGTGGCTTCTCGGAGGTGTTCATTTGCCGAACGAGGTCCTCCATCCAGATAGTCAGAATTCGTACCATGTTGAAGAAACGGAACAGATCGCCAGTATCGGCCAGTTTCTGCTTGCGGGCATCGCACATCGCCTGCAGATTGTCCCAGGCATGTAGTACCTCCTGTTCCCGATTGGTGATCTCCTTGGCCTTGTCGCCGGCATAGGCGTCCTGCAGTTTGGCCGACTCCTCTTGGATTTGTTGGACTTGTGAGTATAGGGTGGTGAGGTCCTGCAGGAAGTTGTAGTGTTTACGAAGCAGCGTCGACACGGAGCCGGCATCGCGACCCAGCTCATCGGACACACCGTGCTGCTTCTCGAGGATGCGACCCAACACATCCTTGCAGTCATGGAAGAATTTGTGCAATTCCCGGGAAGCGGCCAGCATCTGAGTACGGGTCTCAATCAACTCCAACAGATCCTGCCACGATTCGTTCAGGTTGTCCTTCCATTCGGCGATCGTTGCGGAATCGGAATGACCAGCCTGAATAAGATTGTCGGCAATGCCGTTCACCTTGGCCACTCTCTCGCCGCCAACGGCCTCTGTGTCCCGGGCAAACTCATTGAAGCGCTCCGACAGCAGGGTGACGTGGTCAAAGTCCTGACCCAGTTCCTGGGAACCGGCCACCACTTCACGATCGGTTATCCATTGCTCCAGATCGTCAACCTCGCGGCTCAGCATGAACAATTGCAGAGCCTCGTTGAGACGGGCCCTCCTCTCGCCAGCCAGATCCTTGAGACCAGCATAAAGCTTATCCAACTGTGATTGCTTGACGGCCACGGCATCGCCCGAGGAGATATCATCCCCGCTGAACTGACGCGCCACCTCGCCCAACTGGCGAATGGTGTTGGCATAGTCCTCCACCGACTGCTCCAAGTTCTCGTGCTTCTTCATCAGATTCTGGGCGCTGATCTCGTCCTTGCCGCGATCCTCGACCATCATGTAGAGCTCCTGCTCGCTCATCCAGGACTCCGCCTCCTGGGCATCGAAGAAGTATTGTTGCACCTTCTCCGATTCCAGCAGATGCTTTCTGCGGTTCTCGATGGCGTCCTTGAGTTCCTGCCACTTCTGAGTCAGATCGCTGATCAATGCCTCGAACTTCTTGGCATCCTCGTGTCCCTCGTCGATCAGCTTGCGGCCATTGTTGCAGATTGCGTTGATGCGCGGCTCGTGGTTGTCGATTTCTGTGGCCAGCGACTGGTTCTTCTTCTTGAGTACATGAACATTGAACAGGGAGTTGCCGTAGTCGGGTGAGTTGGCCACTGGCAGCTTTTCGTCGATCCAAAGCTTCTCGTCTTCGACATCGCGACAGAACTGGAAGGCCTCCTTCTTCTTCTCCAGCGCCTTCTGGCGCTCCAGAAGTGGCGCCTTGATCTTCTCGAATCGCTCGAGCACGGCGGTCTTCTTCACCACAATCGGTTCGATCTTCTCCTCGGGCACGGTCTTTTGAAGGTATTCGGTCTGCTTGTCGATCTCCTCCACTTGACGTGCCTTCACTGCCATTTGGGTCTGGATGACCTGTTGCTTCTGCATCAGGATGTTGACGGATGTCAGATCATTGGCAGTGTCACCGCTGACAATCTGTTTCTCCAGGTCGGTGATGTAGGAGTCGATGTCGTCGCAAGTCTGCTGGACAAGTACCTCACGGTTCGCGTCGAACAGCATGGCACCCTTCTCCTTGGTGTGCACCTCCAGGTCGTCGAACTGCTTGGCCAGCTCCTTAAGCTTGGGCTCGATCACGTCCTTGAACTCGGGCTTCTCCTTGGACAACTCCTGGGCTGACTTCTCGGCCTCAAATAGGCGCTCCTTGTTAGCGGCAATCTCCGCTTCGAAGGCCTGATGGCGAGTCCACTTGGAGTGGATGGTCTTGGCGCTCCTGTATGACTCGTCCTGGGATGTGGCGTACTTCTCCTGCACCCACTCGGCCAGCTCCTCAAGATCCTGCAGGAATTCGTGCAGTTTCACCTGGTTCTTGAGCTTCTCGTGCTGATCCAGGGCACGCTGACGATTATCATCCCGACGTCCGGTGATATTCTCGGCACGCTTGCCAATCTTATCCGCATCGAAGTGATCCTTCTCCACCAGGGTGTCGGCTACCTGCAGCAGTGTGTTGATCTTGTCATCGTTGGCCTCCATTGTGGTAAGGAAAGCCTCGTGGCGCTTCAGCTGGTTCTCGGCCTGCTCTAGGTTGACTGGAGTGTCGTCCTTGCTGAGGAAGTGTTCCTGCTGGCTGAGCAGCACCTCCGTCTGGCGGGCATCGCGGTTGAACAGCTGCTGGTCCAAGCTCTGCGACAACAGAACCTGTCGGTTCTCCCACATCTGGTGCAGCTCCTCCCAGCCATCCTTCAGGGCATTCAGGCGCTCCCTCAAGAACATGTACTGCGGATCGTCCGAGGTGCTGCCCTCGGATGTCAAGCGCTCGCCATACTCCATCATGTTCTTGTAGTCCTCGGTGTAGTTGTCAATCTCCTCGCGGATCGATTGATGCTGGTTCAACAGCTTCTCAGCCTCCGGCAGGGATGTGGGCGTGTCCTCGGAAGCAACGTCCGTCTGGGTCTTGGTCAACCAAGTCTGGAAGTGATCGAGATCTCGAAGGAAGCGATGCAGATCGCCGGCCTCCTCCAGCTTCGAGTCGCGTTCCTTCAGCATCTGAGTGAGCTGCTCCCAAATCAACTCGATCTGAGCAATGCGCTCGCGAATGATCTTAGCCTCCTCTGGATGCTCATCCTCGATGCTGTTGGCCTCGCGCTCCAAGCTCGAGAGTTTGGCCTGAATAGCGGCCAAATCGCGATCCATGCCGCTAAGACGACGCTGCAGGGTCATTACACCGGTAAGATCCATCTCCAGGCTATCGGTTTCAGTGAGGATACGCTTCTTGTCCTCAATCCACGAGATGGTCTCGCGGCACTCGATGTAGAAGGTTTGGACGCCATGGGCAGACTTCAGGTCATCCATCTTGGCCTCGGCCTTCTCGCGCAGTGTCGACCACTCCTGGTTGAGGTGGTTCTGCCTCTCCAGAATCTCATCGGAATTGGGATGCTCCACATGGAGAAGCTGGCGGGCCAGCTGGTTAACGACGGCCACGCGCGAGGCGTTGGCGTTCATCTCCTTGTCGAAGCCCTCGAAACGATGCTTCATGATCTCCACATCTTCGATATCCTTGCCAGGTGTCATGGTGTCCAACATCTTGGTCTTCTCCTTGATCCATTGCTCCACACCATCGGCTTCCGACATGAGCTTGTACAAGCTGAGGGCATCCAGCAGTCGCTGCTTGCGCAGCTTGGCCAGCTCGGTGAGCTCCTTGTACCGGTTGTCGATCGCCTCCAAGCGCTTGTCTACATTAGCCTTCTCCGCTTCGTTAAGCTTCAGGCTTTCCGCTTGCTTGTGCAGGGCGTCGATCACTTCGGCGTAGTTCTTCAGCTCATCGGCCACGTCCTTGTGCTTCTTGAGGAGGGACTGAACATTGGCTTCGTCGCGACCAACATCCTCGCTGGAAACGATGCGAAGAGTGTCCAACATCCAGTTGTCCACATCATCGGCATCGGCAAACAGTTGGAAGTACTCGACGGCGTTCTCCAAACGCTGGCGACGGTACTTGGTGAGATCCAGCAGATGGTCCCACTTGGAAAGGATCTCCCTCAATCGGTCCTTGATGCGATCCGCACCAAAGTGACCCTCTGTGATCAGCTCCGATCCAACCTTGGCCACATTCTGCAGCTGGGGATCGTGCGATGTGATCTCTGACTCTAGGGCCTTGTGCTTGCTGAGCATCAGATTGACGGTGGTCAGGTCATGACCCACCTCGTCGGTGGACACAATCTGCTCCTTCTCCTTGATCCAGTTCTCCTCGTCGGCGGTGTCCCAGTAGAACTGCCACAGTTTGCGGCTTTCCTCCAGGCGGCTGCGACGTTCCACGGCCAAACGGACCAACTCTGCGTAGGCATCCTCCAGCTGCTGGACGCGAGACACAATGATCTCGGGATCGCAAGGCTTGTACGACTCTGGGTCGTCGCTGAGGAATTTCTGTGAGTTCTGAACCACCACCTTGACGCGCTCGCCCAGGATGTTGATATCGGCCTCGACCAGAGAGTGCTTCTGCAGCAGATCCTCCACGCCCATCAGATGCTTGCCATAGTCGTCGGTCATCAGCAGCTGCTTGATCTCCTCCATGTTGTCCAGAATGTAGAGCATCTCCTGGAAGTTTTGCTGCAGCTGCAGCGAAATCTCCAGGCGCATGCGACGCGCTCTCAGGAGCTCCAGCAGATAGGTCCACAAACGCATCACGTTGTCCTTGCGCAGCAGGATGCGCTTCACGTCGTGATAACGCTCCGATTCCAGTTCATCGCAAACGGCAACCACCGCCTGGACACGCTCTTCGTAGGCAAAGATATCTGTCTCGATGGCCTCGTGCTTCTTGGCCGCCGCCTCGACGGCTGCCAAATCGAAACCGAAGTTATCCTGGCTGACCAATCGCTGATTCTCCGACAGCCAGGTCTCACGCATAGACGCCTTGCGGTCAAAGCGGGCAGCCAGCTGCTCAAGTTTCTCCTGTCGGATGAGTTCCTCGCGAAGGGCCAACTCACGTTCGTGCTCAGCCTTCTCCAATCGCTCCCAGGCCTTGTTGATGTCCGAAATCATCTTGCCCTCCTTGGGGGTGTATGGTTTCTGGTTGTTGGCCCGCATCTTGGACTGCAGGGTGAACAGGAGCACCTCCAAGTTGCCCTTCTCCACGAACTTGGGTGGCTTCTCGATGGTGCGATAGTTGGAGAACTGGGCCAACTGTCCTTGGACACCGGCCAGCGAGTTCTCAAACTCACGTTCGCCCAGCGACTGGATGGTCGTTTCGATCCACTTAAGCAGATCGCTGGTGAAGTGCTCATAATCGTGGACCATCTTGTCATTTTCCATGGCAATGCCAACCACCTTGCCGATACGCTTACCCTGCACCGTCTCCTGCTTGAGTTTGCTGAAGTAGTGATAGTAGGTGACCACGTACGTGATGATGGATTTCTCATCAGGATGCTCGACGAACACATCCTCGGCATCGAGAAGCTTGGCCAGGCCCAGTTTGTCCTCGGCCACGTCAAAGGCATTGTTCAGATTGTGGATGGCGTTCGTCTTCGAGAGCTTCTCGAACTGAACCAAATCCGGACGGTGTTTGTGGATGATGGCATTGAAGGCCAGGCCATCGCGCCACGAGGTGGTGAAGTTGCGCACGTTCACATTGTGATAGCCAGCTGTCTTCATCTGGCACCAGAGCAGCAGGGCGTCCTTGGCCGACTTGGTCTCCTTGTTGTCCACCTCTTCGATGGTGATGTCCTGGATCTGGAAGCGCAGGATGATGGTCCAAATCAGGCCCAAATTGAGGGAAGCATTGCCATCGACTATATCATGGGAGCCAATATTTTCCAAATGGACGCGCTGTTCTCGCAGGAATTGCAGCGCCTTGTCAACATTCTCCAGGCAGTGGATACGCATCTTGCCCTTGGTGGGCTTGGGCAGACGTTCGCCGGAAAGAACCTCCAGCAGCTTAATTAGATGCTTGCCATCCCGCATATCAACATACAGATCGGCAATGCGGCAGTTAACCCGGCACAGATGCGAATTTACCCATTTGGTGAAGGTCTTCTTTTGCACACTCTCACGCTCCTCGGCCAGAGCCTTGATCCTGGATCGCTCGAACAGCCGGGAACTGGAGTTTCCGCCATCGTATTCGTACTCATCGATGTACTCGTTGCCAGGACCCTGGCTGGGATCCCAGCGAACAATCGAAATGTCCGTCGTCATGGCTGGGGATCTACGGTTTCCACAGTGCTTTCGTGCTTAATTAGTTTGCAGTTTGTTTTATTTTCTTTGTTTAGTTTCTATTTTCTAGGGTATCTAGTGTGTCGTTTCGTTTCACGGGAGCTCGCCACTCCTTCGTTCGTCGTTCCTCTAAGTTTATCCTTCAAGTCCAAACCGAATGTGTTGCCTTCAGAAGAGAATCACTGGAAAAGGCGGTGGGAAAATCGGTTAGATAATTAACAACAGGGACTGATGATTCATTCTTTTTGTTTTTCTCTCTTTTCTTTTTTTTTTTTTGGTTCTAAGTTTCAATTTTGGGCTGGGATGGGATGGCGTCACGCGGGTCGCCGGGGTCACCACTAGAATGTCCGATCGTAATTGTGACTATGACTTAAAGCGATTACATCACTCTGTGGCCGAAAAAAAAAAAAAAAAAAAAAAACAGAAACATAAAAGTGGAGCGACCCTCCCCCAACCGGATTCAAATGGCAAAACCGTGAAATTGCAGGAAATTCAATTCACAAAAACCATCGAAACAGCAGACAAAACGAAATATATAGCTCAGACGATTGTGGGGGCGGTGGGTCGGTCAAAAATGTACATATGTACATATGTAGGACATATATTATATATATATATATATATCCACATAACAAGTAGCTAATTACTGAGGGTTCGCTTTACATGCGGGCTTAATTCGTTTAGGGGTGTCAGCTGAATGCACTCGGGGCTATTGTATTTAATTGTTATTTAATTGTTAATTCATTCACAAATAGTTTCCTCTATAACCCCTCAAAATATGTATATCTGAACTTTATATTGATTATTAAATACTTATTAACTCATAATGATATCCAAAAAAATTTGAAATAAGTAATAAATATTAAACCAAAATTATACTGTCTCAATGTGGCTGGTCGGCTTTTCGGCTTTTTTGCTACTATCTTTATGACCTCAACTGTAAGTACACATCACACATTTCACATTTCCATAAATCATGCTGGGCACAGAGTTTCCATTTTCATCAGCGAGCTTTTTGTTTTATGGGTTTGTATTTTTTTCCCCCCATTTCCATGGGCTTGTATACTGGTATTTCACTTTTATCAACGTTGCCGACGATTTGAAATTATGACCTATTCACACGGTAGTTGGCCCTCGAAAATCCATTCAGTTTTCACACATCGCAGCGTTTTTCACACTTTTGCAAGCTTTTGGGCTGCAATGAAAATGAGCAAAGTACTCGGGCTGTACTCTTTCCGTTTAATGTTTTTTTTATTTTTGGTTTGTCGCTGTACTTTCTCCCCCGGCTTTCACTGTTCAAATTAGGGAAACAAAGTAATTAATGCGGAAAATGTATTTTCCACTTTTGTTTCGCTAGAATTCGTTATTTTTTTATGTTTGTATGAAAAGTTTTGGTTTTCTTGCTTTTTTTTCTATTTAATATGAAGGATATTATTCTCTACTTGTTTTTTTTAATTTAATTTTTAGTTTATGCAGCTAAGAACTCTTCTAATCTTAAATTTCTTTGTAAAACTAATTTATTAAATATTTGAAAATTTGTGTTTCCCTTCAATGTTTGAGTAAATAGTAAAAACACAGCCGACCTAGGTCAAAAAGAGGAACACTGATTAAAAAGAAAACGTTTATTGTGTATAACAGTGTGTTTTTGTGCTAATGTCCTTTGACCTTCATTCCCAATAGCATTTGCACAGGTGCTGGGGTCATTCCCTTCTACACACACACAACAACAACAACAAAAAGTTTTCCTCTTCGCAATCCTCCTACTCTTTCTCCACCTCCTTCTTTTATTAGTCTTCTTCTTTTTTCTCCACAATTAAGTAAGCTGCTGATTTCATTTGTACTAATTTTATGAGAGCACCACAAAAACAACAAATAACGAGAATTGTTAAAACAAACAAAAGCAAAATCAGCACACGCACACACCCGCACGCACACAAACGCAGCTTCTATCTTAGTATTACGTAATATTTTTATTAAAACGAAGCTTAAAACTTTGAGAGAGCGAGAGCGAGCAACAACAAAACTGGAGCGACAGATAGAGGTGAAGAGAGAGCGCGAATGTATCTGTGTATCTAGAAGGTGCTGCAGTTTAGATTGGGAGTGGGAGTGGAAGTAAAAGAGTAAGAAAAAAGAGGGTGGAAACTGCACAAGTCGCTCTCGCAAGCTAGCTCTATCGCACTTGCACGCCGCACCCCCCTACGTTTTCGATTGTTGGTGCTTTTCAGAATTAATTATTATGATGGCCGATCCTCTTGTTTTCAGTGTGAGTTCATCACACACAGAGAGAGAGAGAATGAAATCGAGAGAGAGCATAAAAAGAGAGCGGGGCGTTTTGTGTGTGGTGTGTGCAACTGCGAGTTCAATTAAACAGGCCAAGAGTTCAACTTTGGAAACTTGGAAATGAAACCACCACCAAAGTTGAGTTTTAGCTAAGGGAAAACCAGTTTTCCCTGCCATTTCATAAGCAAGTTAATGAGTTTTCGGTGATCAATTGATTGTATGTATGATATGTATGCTTGTGCGGGTGTGTGTGTTATGTTTACAACTGTACGTGTGTGATTTGTCATAAACACAGCAACAAACAAGGTGAAACACAAACAAACAAACAAGTGCAGCTATATGGATTTCTAGCTTTTTACCCGAAGGGAACTCTTTTCTTTCTTCTTCATTTATTTTGAAGAGAAACTTCAACTCGTGACCTCTAAGGGGTGGCGATTCAGAGGGGGCCGGGTAAAGAGAGTGGGGAGTGTGTGTTGCCTATTTTTAGTTTTGGTGTTGGTGAGCACGTAACTGTATTTCAGCCAAGTGCATAGGCGTATCTATGAGGAAGAAACTCACAAACACACGGAACGTCTTTATAGTCTTCATATATGTACATAGGTATACATGAGAATATATATATATATATATCTCCGATTAGGCGATAGCCGTGTTCTTCATTTTTTATCACCAACTGAACATCTGACGCAAATGTTACTTAAGGCTTGCGTTACTTTTTTACACCACACTCTTTTTTTTACAGATAAAAACCATATTTTTTGGCCGGGACATTAATGCATATAAACGGCAAGTAGATTTAAAAAAAAAAAATTTCAAAAAAAAGGGACCACACTCGTCCAATTTGATTACACACACATAAACATATTCACACTCACGCACGCTACGCGCTCTCACCGAAAACCGAATGATGTCATCAACGGCGGCAGAGGCAGCGACGTCGGCAGCGGCAAAATATATGAGTTAGCAGGCAATTTTAATCGATGATGTTTTTATTATGTACGTATGTAGCGAAAATTACTGGGTTTAATATTTAAGCACAGTTCTCTTTTCCTTTTCGATCCCAAAACACAGGCACACACACACAAACACACCCATAAATATATTCGTTAGATACTTTTTGCTCTCTTTTGCCACTTCTGCCTTTTATTGGTGGCTCCTTTTTCGTGGCCTATTCACTTGGGCGTTGGTCTATTTCACATATTTTTGGCCGCTTCGTTTGGCTTTTCGCGCCCTTTTCACTGCACTGCGGCTACTTTCACTTACCTACTCGATAATTTTGCAGCTCCACTCGCCCTAATTGATTCATAAAACACAGTTAATTTCATAGATTTAGCACGTTTGACTAAAAATCTTCGGTCTGGCGGATGAACTTCACTTGGCGAGAATGGAAAAAATGTATGTATTCAAAACATCGCGTTGCGAACGAATGAACGAAGTGAACCAGCGCGACATTGCGCTAAAAAACGCCTACTGCGCAATGTGACCGTGCTATGCCGCAGCTAGCTAACGACCTGGCTATTTTATAGCCAAGAATCTGTAATAAATGAAAAATTAATAAACAATACATGTATATGGGTACATATATACTGCCTAAATAACAACAATAATTTAAAAAGTATTAAATAACTTTAGTTTTTTATAAATAAATATGTACATTTTAATTAAAATAAATGTTCACAACATTTCACAGTATAAGACGTTAAAACATATCATAACACATATGTAATACAACCGCTAAAAGATATACAAATATTTTATAATATATAATAAATAAACATTAAAACATGAAAAAAGTATGTATTAAACGGAATAATATATTCTTTAATTTAAGTAACACCTATAATGTGACCCGTATTACTATTATAATTCATGGATCTTATATGCATTAGTAATGTGAGAAATATTACAACATGATATTATAAGTCTATTATAAGTAAGAAAAGTGTAAGATTAAGGTTAACTACAAGCACAGAAAGATTTAAGAATACTTCATTTCATAATAATATCATGTTATATTACAAAACATAGGTTTTTAACGAAATATTAACTTATCGATGAATCAAATGACGCCCTGTGATATCGAATATATAATTTTTGGTTCAAGCCACACCTATCGTTTTATCAGGAGGCCGATATCCCGATGTTACAGAACTAATATTTCTATCGCCAAACAGCTGTTCACAATTCAATTAATTAATAAGATAGGGTTCTAGAGTGGTAATTAAACTTTCAACCTCTTCTTAATTAAACAATTGGACAAGGAATACATAAAATCTAATTATTTGAGGGCTTGAGCAGTTTCTCCACATTAATCTGTTCCAAGTCTTGGAGAACCAGACTCTGGAGTAATGGCTGTCTTAGAATCTGAGACTAGAATGCCGGTAAGAGTTTACTAAAATTTAAGAATTTTAAAAATTCCGTAAATGGAAATAAGGGTTAGTAGTTGATGGAAATTCTGAATATTGCAATAATCCTATTTAATTTTACATCCTTTCGAATTAGATTGACATGCTAACATCATAGCATATATTCGTGCAAATTCACAATTTATAAAATAGATTATCATGAAAAAACAAATAAAAAGGATTTTAAAGTTCATTTTGTTTGATCCTGGCTTGTAACAATATTGCATTGTAGTTTTACCCATTGATTAAAAGGCAAAAGCGAGATAAGTGCTTATCGTTCTATCTCCTTCTTTTCTATGACCTATGACAATATATGTATGCATTTTGAGATTACAGAACGACTTTCTGGCCTCTCCTGGGAAATTACCAGATCCTGTGACCAAACACCAAGGAATATCTCCCATTGTTCCTTTTTTGTGAATGAAAACAAACATTGTGGATTATGTCGCTGGAAGTGTTGAGGTAAGATTCTTTCGGATTTTAATCTGATTTTTAATATTGTCTTTAACATATATTCACCTTCTTTCACTACAGTGACTGCTCGTTGGATCAGGAAGAGCCAAGTCCCTAGTGACTACGTGATTGACGAAGCTTCCAGCATAACGAAATTGTACTTAGCAGTTTTCCTGCCGTTTCGGCTTTTGAAGGAGCTGTGATTTAGAACTAAAAAATACAATATTAAATGTAACTAAAGAACCTATTAGCAATTTGCTTAATGACTTTTAATGATTCTATTAACTGACCATGGCAAGGATGTGAACCAATCTTTTTTAAAGTTGAACATTTCAAGCAAAAAGATTCGGTCAGTTCATGGGGCAAGCAAATTATAGAAGGGTAAAGAGGAGAAGCTTATAAGTCGGTTTTGAAGAACAGGTGAAGGCGCGATTAAGACTTTTTTGAACAACCAGAGGGACCATATCCATTCATCAGATAGCAAATACATTCTTCTGACAGAACAAATTCACCCGAATAGGAAACACGCTCTCAACATAGCTGGGATGCATAGCTTAGTGAGTACATACTCCATACGCAGCGTTGCCAGCTATCCACTTGTCAAGTAATCGATAGTTAACGAATAAACATCGATTTTTGCTCCAGCTCTAATTTTTGTTGTTGTTAAATTAAAGCTCGGATGTGAATTACTCGTACTAATATTGTATATTTGAACCAACGCATTGAAGTGCAAGTGCAATAATTGTGAGTAACGAAAGTCCGTTCGTAATTTACAAAGCGAAAGGCGTGGAGTTTTGTTTTTTTTTAAATCCTGAATCGGGACTTTTTCGCCTCCCTTTCCAGTGTGCGTTTACGATGCTGATTCGTAATTGTCTTCTTTTGTATACGTTGTGTACGCGCTGCTCTCCTCTCGCTCGCTCTTCCTCTCCCTCCTCTGTGTATGTGTGTGAGTGTGTATGCGTGTGAGTAAGTGAGTGTTTCGTGGTGGGAAAATAATAATTAAAGCAAATGCAACTGGCATTTGTTAAGTATTTTATAAAGTGACTGGCTGGAAAAGCCAAGAAATACGGCCTTTAAGAAAAGTGTCGCAAAAGCGGATTAAACTTGAATTCTTTGTGCGCAGCTGCAGGTAATTGTCCACTCACACATACGCGCACGCAGGCAGCACACACACACTGAGAGCGAGATGCCGCGATGCTGGGAGTATGTGCGTAAGAGTGGGATGGCTAGACGGATGCGGCAACAGTGTTTTTCTTTTCTGCAACAAATCTGAATTTCGTTTCCAAAAATTGTGTTATGTCCATTCTCTCTCATCGTCTCTCTCCCGCCCCACCCGTTTGTGTTTGTAATTGTACCGTTGCACATGCACTTGCAGTACTCTCTTTTCCCTATCCTCCCGCTTTCCTTTCTTTTTGCCTTTGTCGTTGTTGTTATCACTGGATCGGCTCTGCATCTCTTATTTGTTTGTTGTTGTTGTTGTTGTCGTTATTGTGCAGCCCGGGGAATATACAGGAAATCTGTTGCAGCTTCAATTTCGCTTCTGCGCTGCACTTGCCAAACATGTGTATGTTTGTGTGCCGGAAAAACTCAATTAAAGCCCAGTGGGGAATTTATTATTTCCACTCTCATTGAAGCTGCCACAAACACACACATACAAACACATCAAGTTGCACTCCCACTCGAGGATAACAATAACAGCAACAAATTGAAGTGCACTAGCAAACGGCAGCAACAACAAACAGCACATCCACCCACGCACTCTCTCACACGCTCTCTTCGCTTTCCATGCTCTCACTCTGACTCTCTCGTATTGGAGAGTTGCGCCGTCGTTAGCAGCGAGAAAGCAGCGGTGTGGCAGAACAGCCGCCGCAGTCAGGACGGAAAAAGGATTTGTTGCAGACTGACTTTCCCTACTTGCCGAAAATGTTGTATAAAAACTAGCCATATAAATAAATACGAAAAAAACCAGGTAAAACCGAGCCCTGTGAAATTATTGTGAAATTCAAATTTGTGTAAATTGAGTGGCCAGAAAACAACATCGAACGATTTTTCGCTAAGCACCGGCATAGGAAAATCGTTTTCGCGTTTTCCTTACTTGTCATTTTTTTTCATGCCACAGCAGCCAATCTCTTGCTCTCGCTCTCTTGTGCTTTTGGACCCCCAATCCGTGGATGTATCCGTAACTGCGTAGTTGTAGTCAAAAGGAAACCCACGACAAAGTCCTAGACTTGCGAAAAGTGTGCGAAAATGTGAAGGTCCTGCGGCGAATTGGACAATAGGGAAAGCGGGGGTTACCGGGGCTATTCTCCAGCTTGAATCTTGCACAAGGTTATCTTGGATAATAGTCATCGGTTGGCATCGCAAGCCGCCAGCACTTTGCTGTGAAATAACTCACCAGAAATTGACAATTTACTGCTGCTGTGTGTGCCCGGAAAAACTGGGAGGTTATCCTTGAAAACGGAGAGATCTTGTCCTTAACACATAACGTAAGCTGCAATTTCCACGTAAACACAACTAGTATAGTAATTATGGTTTATCCCATATCTGTCTAAATAAGAAAGCTGCTGAATATCAAATATTGCACAAGGTTAACCTAGCCATTTTCAGTGCATTGATAAATTGATAATGTTGTCTAAGATTTAGCGAAATTTTACATGATTTAATATCCATCGGTTTGGTAGTATATGGTAAAAACTGTGGATTCTTAACTTTGCTGCGGTAACAAACCATATTTTCTTACATCATATGGTCGTATGATAGCACCTTATCAATATGATAAGTTATTATTGTATTTTCGACCATATTACCATTTGGCTTACACATGTTATAGCGTTAATTTGTGAATTTTGTTAGCTTTATGTATGTAACACATGACTTTGACTCCTTGCAGGTACGTCAAGATGCGTCAGTTTAACATCTCGGTCATTGGACTATCCGGGACCGAAAAGGACCGTGGCCAGGTGGGAGTGGGCAAGTCATGCCTGTGCAACAGATTCATGCGCCCAATGGCCGACGACTACTTCATCGATCACATATCAGTGCTAAGCCAGAGCGATTTCAGTGGACGGATTGTGAACAACGATCACTTCCTATACTGGGGCGATGTACGCAAAACGACGGAGGAGGGCGTCGAGTATCAATTCAACATCATCGAGCAGACGGAGTTCATGGACGACTCCACCTTCCAAGCCTTTAAGGTGGGAAAGATGGATCCATACTCAAAACGTTGCACGGCCACCAAGGTTTTCTCTGCGGAGAAACTAATGTATATATGCAAGAATCAGTTGGGAATCGAAAAGGAATACGAGCAGAAGGTGATGCCCGATGGGCGACTCAGTATTGATGGCTTTGTGGTTGTCTTCGATGTAAGTCCAGTGCCCAATCGAAGTGTTGAGAAGCAGGTGGAGTTCGTGCAAAATGTCATTGCCACCATACTCAAGAACAAGAAGCCACTTGTCCTGGTGACCACAAAGAATGACGACGCCTATGAGCTGTATGTTCGTGAGGCAGAAAAGATTAGCCAACGAAAAGACTACAAGAGCACAGTTCAGTTAATAGAGACATCGGCCCACGAGAGCATCAACATTGATTTGGCCTTCCTCCTGCTCGCCCAGATGATCGACAAGGTTAAGAACCGGGTCAAGATCATCTCCTACCAAGAGTCGGCCAAATCGCGCAAAGAACTCCTTGACACTCGATCCGAGGCGGTAACGCGACTAATACGCAACCAAATCACTGACTACCATGTCCTGTGGTCGCAGGGCTCTAAGATGCTGTCTCAGTACCGCGAATGGAACGAGTTCCTTAACATCTTTGGCCACGAGGCAGGCCAGAAGCTATTCCGGCGGCACATGAAGAAGCTGCGCGACGATCATCTCAACAAAAAGCTGCATCAGTATTTGGACAAGTTCGCATTGGCCCTGGAATACCTGCTGCCGGACATTGGGGCTTTAAATATTAGCGATGACGATGCGTGGGAGTGCGCCCGAAATTATCTGCAGAATCACATTGAGTTCGAGCAGTACTTTTTCGAATGCCCTCAGGCCTCGTGGACGGAGCTGGTGGACATGGACGAGGCGGAGGATGAGGCCCGTATTCCATTCGATGTGCTGGAGACTTCCGAGGCAGAGACCGTCTTCCGTAATTACTTGAACTCGGTGCAGCAGGACAAGAAGAAAATTGGGTGAGTCTAGTCTTTTGACCTAACGATAAGGGTATATATTAACTAAATGTATAGAGAGTGCGTTGCGTGCCCAAGCTTTTAACACCCATATAAAACCACCCTCTATTTCTTACCTTTCCTTCCACCCCCACAGGTTAAAGCAGCAATTCAAAATGCTGCTGGAGGAGTCGGGCTTCGTGACGCCCGGCAAGCAATTGTCCGAGGTGCGAGTCCTCTTCATGGGCCGCGAATGTTTCGAGGCGCTGTCGGAGCACGATTGCCAGCAGATCTACGATATTCACCAGGACGACATTATCGAAAAGAGCAAACAAAACTTTGTCGAGCTTCTGCTAGAACATGCTCAATACTTTCTGCAGTTCAAGAATGTGGACAATATCACGCAGGAAGATGTCCGCCAGATTACCGATGTCATCCAGGAGGATTCGCGCTACAAGATGCTCGATCGTTTGGACCAGGAACGGCGGCTAATGCTTGTCCAGCACCTGCGCTTCATCCACTGCCCCATCCGCGATCACTGCCCCTTTTTCTACAACTGTGTGGATAGCCTAATTGAGGAGGTTTTGTCCGATAAGTCGGCCAGTAACCACAAGACGCCCAGCGGAGGTGGCTGGAAGAGTTCCGGCAGTGGCAGTGACCGCACGCTCAATCTGCTGATCGTGGGCTCTGAGCATCTGGCCAGTGATCTCCTCAACGACATCCGCATCTGCACCGGTAGCAAGGGCGAGTACATCTACGAGAACCAGACGTATTATCTCAACTATCGGATTGCCAACGGAGACATGGAGGCCTTCAAGGCCATCGATGTCTACTCCAGTGGTAAGTTGAATGGGTTTTTCAATTCCGAAATGGGCGTGGTGTGTTGCACCTTATAATGTGCAAAGCATGCTCGACTAATTACACTTAATTGGCTTTAGTGCTCACCGTGCTGCCAAGATATAGTATTTAGCAAATTAACGAATAGCTATTGCTGACAAATGATATCATGATGCTTACTCACAGCCTTTTGATTATGAATTACTAATTTCTGATTGATGATTGATTGTTTCCTGAAAGGAATTAAGTTT